GGCTTCAGTTGGCCCTGAGGAGGACAGGGCTGGCTGCCCCATCCATGTGGCCTGAGACTATAGTGGGACAGCCCTGCCGCCCTTCCCCCGCAGCGGAGCGGGCCTTACCCTGGGGGCAGGTCTGGCAGCAGTGTCCCGGCAGCTGGCGCGGCTGCCTGCAGGTCAGGGCTGGGCACTCGGGTTTGATATTCTTGCAGCTAACCCTGCCCAGGCTCCTTGCGCGGCGACCCCACTGAGACTGCTCGTGAGGAGATGGAAAACGGAGTGAGTGCAAGATGCCAACCAGGGCGATGGGAAAATCCCGGGGCCAGGCAGGGTTGTCCGGCAGAATTGGACCCCTCTACCACTTAGAAATGGAGTCCTGGTGTGGCACTGTGGGCTAATGCGCCAGACTGCAAAGCCGTTTGGACTTCAAGCTCACCAGCTGCTCCTGGGAAACCCTATACAGGGTCACTATGGGTCTAGATCTACTTGACGGCACTTAACAACAACAACCACTTAGAACCTGCATGACTTAATCTCTCCGGGCCTTGGGGTCCCAGTCTGAGAAATGGGGATGGTTGTTTTCAAGTAGGACTGTAGTGGGAATAGAGAGACACGTATCTAGGTTGGCACAGTGCCTGAGACGTAGTGGACGATATATGACACTGAACACCTGGGACTTGAAAGTGGAGAAATAGCCCAACACATCCCCCGTCTGAGGACTCGCCTCTCTCTCCGCAGCAGCTCCGGGTGCACTCCGACGTCCCAGGACCCCAGCGCTCCCCCACGCCCGAGCAATCCGGCCTTGGGGTCCACTCACCGCCTCACAGGCGCACAGCACACAGCGCATTACCCCGAAGGGCTCCCCCAGATCCGGGTGCCACGTTTCGTCCAAGGCATAGACCTTCCCTCCGAAGGAGCAGCCTGCGGGAACGGGCTTGGCTGGCGGCCGCTGTCCCGCTCCTGACGCGTGCCCGTCCCGGGCGCTGCCCACTGGGCCTGGGTCCTCAGACACCACGCGCCGGACGGCCCCCGCCCACCCCTCCAGGCCGCTCGCTGCGCGGAGCCACCTGCGCCCGGCGCCCCCTCTGGGCGGGCACGGACTTACCGGGAGCAGGACCCCGCCCGCGCCTCCCCCGGGGAGCCCACCTACCTGCCGCTCCACGAACGGGCAGCGGCTCCTTCTCGGGCCGGATGGGCAACGCGGGGGGCTCAGGGCCGGCGCCGCGGGCCGGCCGGGATCCGAGCAGCAACAGCCCGAGGAGTAGCAGCGGGGCCGGCGGGGCCGGGAGGCTCGGCATGACGCGAACGGGACAGCTGGGGAGGCGGGAAGGAGGAGGGAGCCCGAGGGAGGAGGGCCGGGTCGGGGGCGGGCCGGCGGGAGGGGGCCGAGGCCAGGGCCGGGCGGTGCGGCTCGGGACTCGTCGGGCGGCCGCTGAGTCGGCGCCGGGCCGAGCCGGGCTTGGCGGGAGGAACGCGGGCTGGTGGGTGTTGACCCCGGTCGTATGCGGCTCTAGTGCCCTGGGCGCCGGCTTCGGCCCGTTTTATGCCCCGCGCCCGGCGCCCCGGCCGGGGGCCTCCTCCTCAGCAAACGGGGCGGCGGCGACGGCTCGGCGAGGGGCCGGGCTGAGCCCGGGGGGGTCCGGCCCAGCAGCAGCGGCCCGGATCGCGAGGGGGGAGGGGAGGGAGGGGCTGGGACCGGGCAGGGGAGGAGGGAGGGGCTGGAGGGGAAGGGGGAGCTGAGGGGACAGGGGGAGGGGAGGAACTAGGGGGGTGCAAAGAGGGGGAGGAGAGAGGCGGGCCTGGAGCCCCCCTACTCCAGGCGGCCACAAGGCAGCTGGACCAGGGGATGTGTCTCAGACCCAGGACAGGAGCCCCAGGACAGGGAGGGGCAGATGATGGGCTTGAGGCCTATGCGGGCCACTGGACATGGACCCGCGTCCTGCTCAGAAATGAAGACTTGTCTTTATGGGTGACAAAGTACAGGAAAGACCCATCAACTGATGTCCCCCTGACTCAGCCCACAGCAACCCTCAAACCCCATACCATTCGTTATGTATCCCTGCCTATGTCCCCACACTGGCCTGTATCCCCACTTCATCCCTGAGGTACAAAGAATGTTTTATATTAGTCTGTCATCCCTCATTCAACAAGGGCTGAGTCAGAAACAGCAGCGTTTCCCTGTCCACTGTAACCTGTCCTCAAGGCCCATCCCTACCATCCCTGTGCCTAGCCTGACTTGTTATCTCACCTAGGGGACCCTCTACCTCTTGGCTCACAGTCAACCCCCTTTGTCTTGGTTTCCTGATCATGACTGCCTCCCTCTCCCTTCCTATCCCTACACACCCACCAGCCTCCCAGCCATCCCAGCACTCTCCTTCCTAATCTTAGGAGGCATCTTGTCTGGCTGAACTGGAGAATTCTGGGATCTAGGCCATACTCCTTAGCAGACAGCCCCATCTTTAGGAGGAGGAGCAGGAGAGGGCCTGAGGAAGAACTGGGGATGGGGGTGGGGGGCTGCTGGGAACAAGGTCAGGCCAGAAGGCCCCTGAGGACAGAGTCTGTGGGGAGACTGGGATGGAGGGGAAAGCAAAGGAATAAGAGCCAGGGCCAAGGAAGAGGGGGGCCAGCAGGGAGGTATTTGTGGGGGAGGTTCAGCAGCTGTCTTTCCTAAGACAGGGACACATGGGCCTGGTTATTCCTCTTGTCATATGTGGAGTGGTAGGAGATGGAAGAGGCAAGTAGAGGAAGGCACAGGCACAGAGATCAGTGGACTTAGTGGTTGGAACCATCAGGCCCCAGCAGAGCTAAGGCTTAACCCAGCACCTACAGACACCTCATCTTCCAGTCTTCTCAAACTGTCCTAACAAGATTGTTCTCTAATACAAATGATACCCAGATTCCCACTTTGGACAGGATAATGACAAAGTAGGACCCTCTAGGGTGTTAAGCAGAGTAAACGCAGGAAAGCAACTGCTCTATTGGATTTCAGCAGCAGGTCAGCAGGTGTGGTATCCAGAGGAAATCAATTTAGACAGCCAGAAACTTAAAAAAAAAAAAAAAAAAAAACACCAATCTAAAACAAGATCTCTTCTCCAGGGACAAAAATGTCCTGCCAGATTCCTCCTGGAAAAGAACCTCTGCTCCCCACCCATCTCTTCCCTCAGTTGGGTCCCACGTTTCCCATCTCCTAGGAAAAGATGGGATCCCCTTATTCAGATCCTCCCTGTCATGTGTGTGGGTGGAGAAGCCAGGCTCTGTCAGTGGACCATGGTCCAGGCAGGGGCTCTTAGTCCAGCGAGGGTGGGAAGACTAGGCGTCACTTCCGGGGGCCCTCGCCAATGTCTGGTGGTTCCCTGCTCTCTGATTGGGCAGAAGTGGCCAGGGCAGGAGTGTGACCCTACTGCCGTGGAGGGGCTGTGCCCCAACACCACATGCCTTCCTACCTATCTGCTCCCCAGAGTCCTGCCTTCTCTGCACCTGGGTCCCTGAACCCTTCTCCACCTGGTGAGTGACAAGTGGGTTTGGGGTTAAGGGAGGGTAGGAAAGACAGAAAAGAGGAATTGGGCTCACAGCTGGGGGAGGGGCAGGCAAACTGGAACCTACAGGCACTGACCTTTGTCGAGAAGAGTGTAGCCTTCCCAGAATGGGAGGAGCAGGACAGAGCAGGGGTAGGGGGTGGGGTGCTACTTTCTGAGAGACTGATCACAGACTTGGTAGAATATAGCACAGTCCCTGTGGCCCTTGGAAGAGGGGACATGGGCCCAGGGAGAAAGTAAGAAAGGAGGCCCACCTAGACCTTAGGTACACAACACCAAAATGGACACAGCCCCAATCCTTTTTTACCAGGCCACTCCATGTTAGCTCAAGGGTCTGAGTCCTAGGACTGGGAAGCAGGTCAGGGACGCCAAGGCACAAGGAGAGGGTAAGGGGAGGAGGGCTCATGCATGTTGACAGACCTACAGGAAATCCCAATATTGAATCAGGTGCAGGCCTCTTTGCACAACTTGAGAAAGGAGGAAGCCATGTGGGGGGTCCCCGTGAAGGAACCGGAAGGGGTCTGTAGAGGGGGCAGGGAGGAAGGTTGGTGGGAATCTAAGGGAGATAAGTCATAGTGCACCACCACCTCACTAAGGCAGGCATCACCTCACTCAGCCGCTAGGTACCCGTTCCTGAGCAACCTGCCTCAGGCAGGAAGTCCCAGGACTGACAGTCCATCTCTTTGCCTGGGATTTCAGAACTTGGAGACAAAGAAAAACTCCAAGAGGCTTTATGTGTGAAAGTAAAAAGGGAACGGAAAAAAAGGTTAGCTTCTCCATGTCACATTCTTCTAACCTTTCACTTACGGACCAGTGGTTTTGGCCTAATTTCCCTCCTCAGTCCCCACTTCCCAACTCTGAAGCTATCCCTCAAGACACAGTACATGTTTGCTGGTTCCCCATTCTGACCAGAGATCCTATTTTTCCACTCTTCTCCACACTTGTACTTCTTCTATTCCTTATCCCATCCTACATATTCTTCAACCAACAACCAAGGTTGCTCAGAATTTGAGAAAAATTATGTGTGTGTATACATAGCCTGTCTTCCTAGTCTTGGAGAGGATGGTATTTGGGGTCAGCGGTTCAAGCTCACCAACCACTCCTAGGAACCTACTCGACAGCATTTAACAACAACAACAAACCCACCTCAGATTCATTGAAAACCTCTGACAAAGAGGAAAAACTATATGCTGTAATTACTAGGAAGCATGGGACCAACTGAGGTTTTAGCTGGTCAGCATCTCAAGTCCTCCGGGCATCTGCTCCCCCTGCCAGGCAGTCTTTTCCCTGAAACTTGACTAAATGTTCACCATTCCTGTCACTTTCAGGATAGATTCCAGACCATCTTCCTCGGCCCACCTGTGCCCCGCCCCACTCTACCCAGAAGTGCAAGAGCCCAAGCCGCCTCCATGGCCCCAGGAAGGATTCAGGGGAGAGGCCCCATACAGGGAGCCACTCCAGCCAGACAGTCTGGCCAGAATGGAGCTGACTGGTAAGAACATACCTGAGGAGCCTACTGCCAGATCAGAACATGGTAGAGAGAGACAGAGAGAGGAGACATGCTGTGGGGCGGGAGCAGGGGAGCCCAGTCTCCCAGGAATAATTGTCTGAAAGGCAGATTCCCCACATGTCAGGTCCTGGTCCTAAATGGGAATTCCTGGATGACCACTCACACTTATTTCTTCTTTATCTATCCTTTTTCACCCTCACCTCTCCTCATCCAAGAATTGCTCCTCGTGGTCATGCTTCTCTTAACTGCAAGACTAACTCTGTCCAGCTCGGCTCCTCCTGCCTGTGACCCCAGACTCCTAAACAAACTGCTTCGCGACTCCCACGTCCTTCACGGCAGACTGGTGAGAATTCCCAAGCACTATGCCCTCTATCTACTTCACTGGTATGAGACCTTCACTTCCATCATTTCCCTCATTTCCTGATCCAGTCACTATGTGTCTTTAGCAGGACCACTTTTATTGATCACTCCCTGAAAAGGGTTATGATTTACAACACAGTCCTCTTTCAAAAGCTCTAGTCCGGACATTTTCCTCATGGAAGCCTGTCCTGGTCATTGGGCCACCATACCTCCATCTACTTCAGCTCCTGCCTCCCATCAACCAATCTTTTTCAACAGAGCCAGTGCCCAGACTTTAACCCTTTGTCTACACCTGTCCTGCTGCCTGCAGTAGACTTCAGCTTGGGAGAATGGAAAACCCAGACGGTAAGAAAGGCCATGCCTTCACTTGGTTTTCTTAAATCCTCTGTTCATCAGTTTTCTATTGCTTCTTGTGAATTCTTCCAAAATTCTGCAGCACCCAAAAACACCTTGCCTTCAGCTTGGCCTAACTAACCCAACCCACATTCTCCTATGATGATATCCTGTGGACAAAAATCATCTTGGGCTTGCAGTTCCAACATGTTATACAGGTGCAAAGCTGGAGATTTCTATCTCTCATAGCCATGTGTTTGACCTTTCTAAATTGGCTAAAAAGATGGCACAAAGCTGGGAAGCACAGCTAAAATAACAAAAGGTAGAATCAAGATCAAATCACTGAAAGGCTAGCTCAAAAACAAGGTAAAATTTAACAGCGATGTATAAGGGGGCTTCAAAAAGTTTGTAGAAAAATCTAATTAAAAGATGTTGTTGTTGTTGTTGTTAAGTGCCGTCAAGTCGGTTCCGACCCATAGCGACCCTGTACAGGGTTTCCGAGGTAATTAAAAGATAATGGCGTTTTTTCCCACAACCTTTGAAAAGTCCCCTTGTATGTAAAATTCTACATATGTCAATTTATGGAGTAAAGTCCTATTCTAGTTTTCATGCCACAAACGCTCCTGCTTCCATTTTAGAAACTTTAGCCTTAGAACTTGCTATGAAAACAAATCTGAGAGGGGTGAGTTGACCCCAAACTTAGCATATTACATTACTAAAGTAGCTATTTTATTTTTTCATGTATAAACTCATTTAGTTTATTGCAAAGGTATTCATAACAAGGCACATAAAACCTAAGGCATTCATTTAAGATTGAAAAACTAGAATTGACTATTACAATGTTAGCTTAAATGTTAGCATCCAAATCTTTAGACTTCAGGCTTTTATCTTTGGGACTTGGTCTTGGAGTAAAACAGCTATTTTTTTAAAGTTATCAATTTTAGGTTGCTTTAGGAGATGTTCAGTATCAGATATAGAAATACTCCTATAAAACTCTATTCTGATCCGACTACACTTCAACAAGTACTGAATTGAGTACTTTTTAAGTTTTATTATTATTGTTATGAAAGGCCATATCAGGCTACTATGTGTCCAGAAGGAAGCAACTAAGCAGTGAGAGGTTAGAAAACATGTTACATGAGGAATGGTTAAATCTGTTTGGAGTCTTTAAACGCTTATGAGGCTTATGAGCAGCCATCTAAGATACAATGGGTCTCTATCTACCTGGAACAGCAAAAGACCCAGGAATTAGAGAAGGAACTGGACTGCCTCTTTTGCCATGATACCAGAATAATTGGATGGTGTCCAGCTAGTATCACTGAATGATTCAATCAAAGAGCCAATAGAGGATTCCTGATCAAAAATGGGGGCGGGGTGTGGAACAGAATTTCAAACTCTTACAGAATCCAGATTTACTGGATCTGTTGAGATTGTAGGGCTCCTGGTGTGGCACTGTAGGATAAGCACTGGACTTTGAACCACAAGGTTGGTGGTTCAAACCTACCAGCTGTTCCTCAGAAACCCTGTACAGGGTCACTATGAATCAGAACTGACTTAGTGGTACTTAACAACAACTATGTTGAGATTGAAGGAAAATCTATTGCTCTGAGAAAATCTTCAAACCATGAACTGAAAATTCTCCCTGAAGTCATCCTTAAACTAAACAACTGTTTCGCTAAATTAGTAAGCAATGTCTGACATGAGCATAATACTCTTTTAAATAATCATGTATATGAGATCAAATTGTCAATAGTAACTGTAAAGCGTAGGTGAGAACTTTAGGGGGTAGTAAGTGTAAGTCAATGGTGGTGAAATAATATGGTAGAGACAGCAAGAATGGTGACGTAACGTTATTGCCATGTTATTGAACTACATGGGGAAATTGAGTATGTTCTACAGTGTATAGTCTCACCAAAATTGTTGTTGTTGTTGTTAGGTGCCCTCAATCAGTAACTAATTGCCATTGCTTTGATTCTGAGTCACAGCAACCCCACATTTGTCAGAGGAGAACTGTGTTCCGTAGGCTTTCAATGACTGATTTTTTGGAAGTAGATCATGAGGCCATTCTTCTGAAGTACCACTGGGTGGACTTAAGCCTCTAATCTTTTAGTGAGCAGTCAAGCATATTAAACCTTTGCACCACTCATTGTACACACAAAATCCCTAGAATTCCCTCAGGTTTTCTAAGGGGATTGGGTCAGAAAAGAAGGGCTCGTCCTATGGAACCCTTGCAATCCAGCCCAGCTTTGTCACTTATTAGCAAGTCCCTTTGCTTCATCTTTATGATCTTTATGTTAGATTTTCATCTGTAAAACACTGCAATTCTTCAAGTTTCTTCACAGATCTCAAACCTATATGATCCTAAGGTTTTTATGCAGAAAGAGTAGATTTGTAGTGCTAGAACCAAAAGTAAAAAGCTATACCAGGACAGATTTCAGCATATTATAATAGGATGGGGGTGGTAGGAGTGAGGGGCTTTTCTAAAACTAACTGTAGCACCAGGTTAGGTTACAGGACACTGGAATTATTCAAGCAGAGGCTGATGACCAACTGTCCAGAGACTGTGAAGGAATTCCTATGCTGGGTGGGACCTTGGTCCTGTCCAATTTTCAGCTTCTATGATTCATTTTGCTGGCTACTCCTAGACTCCCTGCCCCCCACTGTTAACATGCCCTTTGAAGAGCTTCTTCTCTCTTCCCTCTCTCTCCCAGGAGCAGACCAAGGCACAGGATGTTCTGGGAGCAGTGACCCTTCTGCTGGAGGGAGTGATGGCAGCACGGGGACAACTGGGACCCTCCTGCCTCTCACTCCTCCTGGGGCAGCTTTCTGGACAGGTTCGCCTTCTCCTTGGGGCCCTGCAGGGCCTTCTTGGAACCCAGGTAAGTCCCCAGTCAAGGGATCTGTCTTCTTCTCTGACCCAGACATGAGGGGAAAGTGGGCATTTTAGGGATTTTGAGGGCAAAAGAGTTGACCTACCAAGAAATGCTACCTCCCAACCATAAAGCCTGTGTGACAGGCCTATATCATTTCCACAAAGACAAGGGAGGCTCGATCTCTAGCCCAAGTCTCTGGCCTCAGGCCCATCCTCTGCCCTCAGCTTCCTCCACAGGGCAGGACCATGGCTCACAAGGATCCCAATGCCATCTTCCTGAACTTTCAACAACTGCTCCGAGGAAAGGTGCGTTTCCTACTGATTGTAGTAGGGCCCACCCTCTGTGCCAGGCAGGCCCTGCCCACCACAGCTGTCCCAAGCAGTACCTCTCTATTCCTCATACTGAACAAGCTCCCAAACAGGACTTCTGGATTGTTGGAGAGAAACTCCAGTGCCTCAGCCAAGACTACTGGCTCTGGACTTCTGTACAGACTACAGGGATTCAGAGCCAAGATTCCTGGTCTGCTGAACCAAACCTCCAGGCCCCTGGATCAAATCCCTGGATCCCTGAACAGGACACATGGACCTTTGAATGGAACTCATGGACTCTTTCCTGGGCCCTTCCCCAGGGCCCTCAGAGCCTCCAGCCTTCCCCCAGGAACTTCAGACACAGACTCCTTGCCACCCACCCTCTGGCCTGGAGACTCTTCTGCCCCAGCCCACCCTCCAACTGGACAGTACACGCTCTTCTCTCTGCCACCCACCTCACCTACCCCCATGGTCCAGCTCTATCCCCAGCTTCCTGACCCCTCTGCAACCACACCTAAACCCATTCCTACCAGCCCTCTTCCAACCGAAGGCCACTCTTACTCCCAGAATCTGTCTCAGGAAGGGTAAGGTACTGAGGTACTGCCAACACAGACTGGTGTTGTCTCTGATGTGCAATTCCTTTATCTAGAGGAGAGGCCTGGGCAGACAACTGTACCTCTGCCAGACTTCTTACTTTCACCTAAAACCCAAAGCCCTGATAAAAGGAGACACAATGGACAGAAGAGGAGATCATTTTTCACTGTATATTATAAAACTTCAGAAGCCATTTTTTTAAGCTATCAATAATCTTCATCAGAGCAGCTAATTATCTTTGATCTATTTCTGTTCATATTTACAACTTACTAATTCTCTATATGCTCTTTTTCATATAGAAATTCTACAAAAGTCCAGATTGGCCTGACCTTTGAACAAAGGCAGACTAAACCTAATGTCAGAAAACAAAGAGGGTCTTTGCTTTGCTTCAAGCTTAAGGCCCTCTGATGCCCTCACCCCTGTAATGACATGGGGCTGTTGGATCCTTGGTCTCAAGAAATGAACAGGAAGTTGTCTCTCAGAAGGACTACTCCTAGACAATAGATAAAATTCAGCCTATGTAGATAAAAAAATAAACGAGGGTACCCCAAAACTAACTGCAAGCAGGGAAGGGTGTTTTTCTGGAGGGGGACAGATTCATCACCATCACCACCACCACCATGAAAGCTAACAGGAAGTCTTGAAGCGCTTCACACCCCAGGTAAGGCTGTGCAGACAGCTCAGTCAAGACAAGACCTGGATGTAACAGCTGAGCAAATAACTGAAGCTTCAGTTGCTCAGCAGGTGGCTTGGCCAGGCACAGGGTCCTGCCTCCCTCCTGTGGAGGCCAGGGGGAAGTGCAGGAAGTGGCAGGAGCTGGTCTCCTTGGGCTCTCAGCAGGAGGAACAAGTACAAAAGTCAAGTACAAGTTAAAGGCTCATTTCCCAATTCCCCAAGCTCACAGTTTCTACAAGGCAGTCATGTATGACCACCATAAACTCTGCCTAGGGGATCTCTCCAAAGAGAAACCAGAGACATGCTACAAGGCTTCATTAATGTTGACACCATCTTGGTGCTCAGTCAGGAAGACAGGGTTCTACTGCACAAAACAAACCCTCCATTGCAAAAGGTCAATTTGCTACCTACCTCTAGAGGCTCTTGTAGAAAACTAGTGGTAGCTTTTTCCTCCCCATGCCCCCAAAAGCAAAGGAGACAAGGGTTACAGGAACCAAGAACCCAGAGTTCCAAACACCACCACAAATACTCAAAGATATCAATGATGCCAAAGGAGGCAATTCTAAAGCAGAATGGAGGCCAGTGTGCTGGAAACTTTATGTAAATATTACCTCAGTTCTATAAGGTAGATATTAGCCTTCTTACAGATAAGAAAACTGAGGCTCACAGAAGCCAGATAAGCTTCTAATGGTTATATAGCCTATAAGCAGGAAAAGAAACAAACCCTTTTCTAAAACTAACCATAACACCAGGCTAGGTTACAGGACACTGTAATTATTCAAGCAGAAGCTGATGACCAGCTGTCGGGAGACTGAAGGAATTCCTGTGCTGGCTGGGACTTTGGTCCTAATTTTCAGCTCTGTAGTCCAGTCTCTCCACTTTGATGTACTGTCTCATGTTCATTCAGTGAGACTATTTATTGTAAAAGATCCCCATGACCATAGGGAGTAAATACACAAACAGATAAAGAAGTCTGGGTGAAAACAAATCACAAAGCTCCTAAGCGGCATCCAAATCTCAGCTCATGCCATTTTAGGCATGGAAGAGATTAGTTCATCCACGCTACCAATTCCAGTTAAGGGAATGGGAAGTGGAAATTGTAATTTACTGAAATACTGGCATAGATTACATTTCATGATCAAACACCTTGTAGCATATGAAAGAGCCAGCACCCAGGACAAGATATGCCACAGGAACCAAAGACCACAAATTAGGGGTTCTAAGCAGTGGGTTCTAGTGAGAAGCAGGGACTACAAATCTGCCAGCAGCTATGTGGTCAGGAAGTTTTAGGCATCCTGTTGGCATTTGACTTACTTCAGTTCTGTTCTGGGATTCTGCAGTATGAACTAATAATCTGCCACCACTGAGACTCTCATCCCTCTCTCTGGCTGATTCCACCCCTTCTTCCCTTCCACACAAAAGACAAAAAGCTTTTACAAACAGAACACTCCTATTCCTATTCAACTTGATGCCAGTTCTCTTGCTTCTGCTCCCCCAGGGCACCAGGATGTTCTGCTATAACCCACAAATTTACCGGTAATTAAATTCTATTCTCACTAACCTAAATCCATCCTTCTCCAACCCCTCAAAATCCTGGTTCCATAGAGATTCTAGGATTCCCATAAAAATTCACCCCACCCCCATAGCATCTACTACCTTCTAGCCCTCCTACTCCCCTATGGTGAAGCCAAAGAAACACCTTTTCTGCCCCCTGAGGAGGCCATTCATTTTCAATCCATTTCCCTAAATACTGTTTCTAACACCTCATGTAAAGACCTGAAAATGATGGGGAAGGAAATACCCCAGGCATCCCAACAGGGGGCCAACTCCCATGGTAAAACAGAGAGATCAAAAGACAACTGAGTAATACACACTCCCAAAGAATCTTTCTAGATTGTTACCCTAAATTTCCCAGGGAAAAAAGAGTCCCATACACTTTTTCAGAGACCAGGCTGAAAAGTCAGTTCATGGGCTCCAGTCCTTTTGAGCACCACTATTTCCTCAACTTTTCTATTCCCCCACTTATAGGTTAGTGAGTGTAGTCTGGCAGCTGCATTGTCCCGGGCACTGGCACTGGACTGCCAACCTCATTGGTATTGCTGCTCTGTCCACCTCACTGGTCTGTGCAGCAGATCTCTGTTCAGTGTGACTGGTAAGAATCATCAGTTACTCTCCCTCCTAGGTTACCACCATAATGTAGAGCAGACAGCTTCCCGGACCCGCCTCCATAACCACAAAGTCTTCTCCTATTCTTTTTAGACAAACACTGTATCCAGGACTCTCTAAAAAACCTCCACCCAAAGATTCCATAAAAATCATGAACATTTCCAGGCTATGCAAGTGACTCATTCAAGGCAACGTGAACTGACTTCCTAAGAGCCTGAAAGTGTCAGCAGGACATGAGTAGGACTCCTTGCCAATTCAAGATTCTAGGCCAAATGGGTGGTATCTTCCAGACCCGGGATGCCCTCAGGAGCCAAGAGCACAACATTCTCTCTCTCTGAGACAAAGTCACACTGGAGGATCAATGCTGGGACTAGTCACCCAGCAGACGGAGATAACCAAAAGGCTGGGGTACGGTAGACTGTGTGCTGACATGTGGTCATCAGGCTATGGACCAGAAATACAATATACCATACACAAATTAAGAAAAGGAGAAAATGACTGCAATTAAAAAAAAAAAAAAAGGAAGCCTGGAAAAGTGAAGTTTAATTTTAAAAAAGCATATGTACAAAACAACTTCTAATTCATTTTAAGCTCTCCCACTAGGTTTCCCAAAGGCAAGCCAGTTCTCATTGAGTTCAACCCTTCAAAAGGTATACTCGTGGTGGAGAGACAGCCAGTTTCTCCGCAACAGGTGAACAGCAGCAACTCAGGCTTGAATGAAATTGTCTGTACGGAAGGGGCTGTGGGCCAGGAATATCCATGACCTGAGTGACTAAACAGTAAAGTCGGCTTCCCAGTGGTTCAGAAGGCCAGTTTCTTCATCAGCAGGTAAACTCTGGAATCCACCTCAAATCCATGCAGGTTGTTGGCATCACCCTGTAGCCTCATGAGCAGGCCCCCATAGGATACATACGCAGAGCTGAAACAAAAGACCCCCCAACCCTGTGAATGTGAGCTCTGGAGCAGCAACTAATCAGTGGCTCTCCAGCCTACCCTAAGAAATAGAAGCAGCTCCCTTCTAGAATTCTGTCAATAGGAACCAAATTTCAAACAAAGAACAATGCACAGATGCCTGTAAACGGTGCTCTCTATATTAGCAATGGTAGAAAAATCTCCATGCCCCAAATTAGGAAACCGGTCAAATGGATTAAGATATAGCCATTTAAGATCAAACTAACAAAAGCAACTGGGAAGATTAGGTAAGAAACATAGGGGGAAGTGTACTTATGCTAAAGTAGACCTGGTGGCACAGTGGTTAAAGCACTTAGCTGCTCACAGAAAGATTGGTAGTACAAACACACCAGCTGTTTCGCAGGAGAAAGATGTGGCAGTCTCCTTCCGTAGAGATTTACCATCTTGGAAACCCTATGGGGCAGTTTTATTCTTCCTGTTGTTGTTATGAGCCGTAGAGTCGGTTCCGACTCATAGCGACCCTGTACAGGGTTTCCGAGGCTGTAAATCTTTACAGGAGCAGAACGCCTCATCTTTCTCCCACAGAACAGCTGGCAGTTTCGAACTGTTGACCTTAAGGTTCGCAGCCTGATTCGTAACCACTATGCTGTCTATAGGGCCCTAAAAGCTGGAACTGACTCCATGGGTTTGGGTTGGAGTTAATAGGGGAGGAACAATTAGGAAAAAGAGGGTGTAGTTGCACAATTTGAAGAACATAATCAGTGTCAGTGAAATGTACATGCAGAAATTGTTGAATTGATGAATATTCTGTTATGTACATTCTCAAAAACAAAAAAATATCTTAAAAAGATAGTTAAAATATATATATATATCCATTTACAGGAATGTTATACAGCTATTAAAATGCTTAGGACCAGTTTTAAATCGACATGAGAAAATGTGTTTTATATAACATTAGACATTAGGCAAAAAAGAACATTGTAATAAACAACAGGATCTCCAAAGGGGAAAAAAGTACACAGAGAAAAAAAAAAAAAAGAAAAGAAAGAAATCTAGAATATTCAAAATGTTTATATAAAAGGTTCCCTCTGGGTATGGAATTATAGGTGACTTCCCCCTCCCCACCCCGACACATTACTTTTCTGTGCTTTTTGAATTTCTTACAATGGCCACATCTTGTTCTAATAAGATTTTAAAGAAAAGGGAAAACAGTTGGGCAGAGAAACTAAAGAACTAGGGATTGGGTTGCATAGTAGCACAACACACACACATAAAACCTAGCAGTTTAATCACTTGATGCTGCATCTAGTTCCTGGGGAAGCAACTCTCCTTTGTATACTTCACATAGCAAGATTACCAATTTTTTACCTGAGGGCCTGACAAAGAGCCTGTATTTCAGACTAGAAAACAGTAGAGTGGAAATCATTTCCAGCACAGTTTTTTCTAGGTCCCACCTAAGTCTGAAGTATTTAGGGAGAAGGGCCCAACATGGGAAGCATGAGCATGACCCCAATTCTCAGAACAGGGAGGAGGTAAAAGGATTCTCATAAGATCAGAGAACTTACAGGCGTGTTGCTGCTTCAGTTGAAGTTTCATCTCCCTCAATCCTATATACTTTCCCGTACATTACATACTCAAATTGGTCAGCCCTGTGGAATAATAGTGACAGTTACTTTTAATAGTAATCAACACTAAGAGGCCCTTTAAAAAGGGTGCCAACATTTTAAAAATAAGCTTTTCACAGATATGATGTCTTTTGGTCCTTACAACTCTATGAGCTGGGTATGACCATCTCTGTTTTACTTAGAAGAAATTTAAGGACCAAAGAGGTCAAAGTTACTCAGCAAATAAGAAGAGAACTAAGAATTGAACTCATGGAACTCCAAAACCTTTCCACACATCAAACTCCCTTCCAAAACGCAAGACTCATAAAACCCAGGCCACTCAGTAGTCAGTCCCTCAGCCTTCAGAGAGCTACAAGTCACAAACATATAATCATGCTTCCCGATAAAATACCTGGTTGCCTGAATTCATGAAGGGTAGCACATTCCTTAAGATCACTCAGATTCTGCTAATAATTATTTATCCCATGAATATATAAGATATATATCGGTTGTTTACATGGTCTGCACTCTCTCACCTGGAAGGCCGGTCATCTGTGGGATTGTATTCACCATCATCCAGTGTACCATCTTCATATAAGGTACTGGCTATAACCAACCGGAACTTGTCACCTGAAATTAAGGGTAATATCTGAAAATAAAAATAAAGACAGCAGACATGTTTTGTTTTAAAAAAAAAAAAATGCCCCTTGCAACTGTCTGTGTTTGGCACTTACCCAAGTCTACAGGGTATATCTGAATGTTTACATCTAAGATGAGGTCCATCTTGAACGACTCACTCTCACAATGCAGGCGAGACACTGGGAAATGGGGGAGGGTAGCAGAGAAAGAGAAACAAAAGTGATTGTCAGGTCTAGGACAGAGCTCATTTAAGGATTATAAGCAATAGAATACTCAATTTACCCAGTCTGCATCCACTGGCCTCTCCAATACTCTCCCAGAAGTGTAGACTCAATCAGAACCACATAAACAAAACAGAATCCCCCGGGGGGCGGAAATCAAGGAAAAATATAACTCATATTGCTGAACAATTTATATGGAAACTGCCAAATGGCAACTTAATTTACTGTGCAAACTTTCACCAAAGATACAAAATTATTTTTAAAAATTAACAAATAAGGTACTCTGGCAGGGAATAAGATCCAGGTTCTAGCCCTGCCTGGATGATTAAGAAACAACCTAACTTTGGACAAGTTATTCATTCATCCAAAAGTTTTTCTGTGCTAGGCATTTTGCTGAGGAAATCATCAGGATGGTTAAGAACTGGTGTCTGTCTCAGAGAACATCTCAGTCTCTAGGCAAAGGAAGAGACATCAGAAAGAAACAATGACTGAGCAGTGACAGAATAAAGAGCAGGTAACTCTACCTCAGAGACTACTCCCAAAAGAAAAGATTCTAAAGGCAATACAAAAGTAATCTGAAGTCAGATTACTGTGCAGCCTTGGCTGAGTCACTTAACGTCTCGGTGCAAAATGGGAAAGACATCTCCTACCTCATGGATTAGAGGAATAAGACAAGATGTGTGTAAGGTGCACAATACAGTGTCTACCACTGAGTTCGTTGTTGTTGTTGTTGTTTGATGCCATCAAGTCCGTACCGACTCATAGCGACACTATACTATGTACAACAGAACGAAACAGTGCTCGGTCCTGGGCCAACCTCACAAATGTTGCCACGCTTGAGCCCATTGATGCTGCCACTTTGCCAATCCATCTCACTGGGGGAGTCTTCCTCTTTTTCTCTTACCAAACATGATATCCCTCTCCAGTGACTGGAGACAATATGTCTGAAGCATGAGAGACGAAGTTTGGCCATCATGGCCTCCAAGGAGCACTCTGGCTGCACTTCTTCCAACACGGATCTGTTGGTTCTTTTGGCAGCCCATGTAGCGACTATTATTACTAGAGATGCCCTGGAGTTTGCCAGTACCTTGACAAAAGAATACCCAGGTTCTGTGTGAAGCCAAGAAAAGCTTTAAGTCTCAGTTTTCTCGTCTATAAAATGCTTCCGGAAGGAGGTCTCTACATCGGTACTTGCTGGTATGGCTAGGTCACATGAGTTGGGCGATACCGGGTCGGAGGCTAGCGCCACCCTTCCCTCACTCCCCGAAACCACCGCTACCCACTTTACTTACCTCGGTCAAACTTCTTGCCTTCTGGGTCAATGTCTTTCACATCGAAAATATCCTCAAACAGGATGCCGGCCATCGTAAAGGGGCCACGAAAGTTCAAGAGGTGCTGAGAGCGCGAACAAGCTTGGGGGTACGTGCACCTGCCCCCCACGTGGAGAAGTGGCGAGACCAGGTTAAAGAATAACGCCTGAGAAGACACAGAATGAGAGCGGGATAGCGCATGCGTAAAAGCACGCAGTAGCGTCTCCACTTCCGCTACCTCCCTCTCGGGGTTTGTTAACTTCCGCCCCTAGTGATTGCAACGAGGAGGCAAATAAAATGAGGGTGGGTCTCGGATCCACTGGAACCGCCCCTGGGCGGGAACATAATAAATCCCGCCTCCAGCCGAGAAGGCTCGGATACTTTTGCTCCGCTGGGGTTCTACTCCGCCCTTTTTAGTGTCCGAATTCCCAAGACTGTAATGTGAGGACCTATCCCAAGCGAGGACCTTGATCCTTGGCCCATAGAAGCCCGGCCCTAGTCTTACCCTGTCGGTCCGCTAGCCCGACGAGGACACAGTCCACGCTGAGGCGGGTGGAGCAGAGCCCCGCCCCCGGCTTACTAGCTAGCGGGACAGGGCGCAGTGCCCAGCCGTTGCAGCTGGCACTGAGGCCCCCCTCCCAGGTCGGCCCGGGCTGGCTCGGCCCTGCAGGACGTCACCCAAGCTGGGCCCGTCCAGTTTGGGAATTTGCCATGATATCACTATGGGGAAGAGAAAAGCCTGCAGTGGCTTCTTCTCTGGTACTGCAACCTCCCCACTACTGCCCTCTTTCCCTGGACCCTGCTCCCTTTCCAGCCCCTTCAGCCTGACACTAACCCCTTCACACTGCTGTCTCCCTGATCAGCTCCGTACTGCCCATTCCCCCGCCAATGCCCGCTCCCTCTGGACACTGATCTATATATGTGTCCCTCGATCCTGGTACTGGTCAACCCTTCAGATACAGGCTCTTCCCTCCTACTACCCCCCTTTCTGGGCACTGCCCCCTCCCCCAGAGCACCGCCTCTGCCTCCACGTGCCCCTTCAGCCTGGTACTGCCGTACTGTCCGCCACACACACACACACACACACACACACACACACACACACACACACACGCTGCCCGTTTCCTAGGCACTGCAATCTCCCTTCTCACTAACCTACCCGTGACACTGTCCATCCACCCTACCCTTGCCCAAACTCGCAGAGCCCCAGCAAGTCGTTCCCCCAAGGCAGTGAGACGTCAGCAGCTCCTCGGATTTCTACTTGGGACCTGCCAGAGAGAAGCGACCTCTGCCCCTACACGCCCTCCTCCCAGGAGTGCCCTCTGCAGCACCCAGACCTACCTACCTCGGGCCTCACCTCTCCCCGCCCTCTCCCACCTCCACCGCCTTTCAACCCCAGGCTAGGTTCCTCCAGGTGCACCTCCCTGGGGGAGCCCGAAGTAAAGGGAAAAGAGAGGATGAGGGAAACTAAGGACTTCTGGGCCGAGCATCCTCCCGCCCCCACCCCTTCTGGGCCCAGAATTCTCCTCCGAGTCCCCGCAATTTTGCTTCTCACCCCAGGCAGGACAGAGGCCTTTCCAGGCCCATCTCAGCCGCTCTCCCCTAATGAGAGGTTGCCGCTTCAGAGAGCCTTAAGAGTCCGATGCAGAGGGCTCTGCAGTCCCAGAACCGGAGCCAGACTGAGCTCCGGCATCTCGGTACCGGGCCGGCCCTTCCACGTGCCAATGGATCCGCCCCCACCCGATCCCCCGGCGCCGGGCTCTACCCCGGGCCTCGGTGAGGAGGGGGCGCGGACTCGCGCGACCCTAGCGCCCCCTGCCGCCTCTTCAGAGCATGGGAGGCGGCCCTAAAGCCGACCCCAGCCGTGTTGAACCAGCCCCTCCGGATGGGACGGCGGGCGGAGCAGCGCACAGGACACCGCCCTCGGCCCGCCCGCCAAGGAGGGTACAAGAGCAGGAGGCTGTGCCGGCAGCGCCCGTCCCGGGCCCGCTGCACTCTGCACTTAGCCCCTCTGGGCTGCGGGGACAGGTCTGGTTCCGGAGCGGGCTCTGTGAACCAGCAGCGGAGTCCCGGCGTAAGACCGAACCTCAGCGTGAGACGAGAGAACTGTGCGCGGAGATGGCGGCCGCGGCGGCTGCGGCGGCGGAGGAAGGGATGGAGCCGCGGGCTCTGCAGTACGAGCAGACCCTGGTAAGTGAAGCCGAGCGGCGCTCTGAGGAGTACGCTCTGGAACTGCCGCTCCAAGCTATCCTTGGAAGCGCTTGGAGCGAGGCCTACTATAACCCTTCAGAGCTGGGGAAACTGAGGCTGGGGTCGTAGAGGGGGTGGCTGGAAGAGGGAGGTGTAAAAGGATGAAGGGCCAAAGGATTAAAAGCTGCTTGCAGATTTCTGGCTGAGGCTGTAGGCCAGAAGAAGATAATGACACCAGGCACTTGTCCCAAGTGTCCTTCCCTGGGACGCACACACAAACGCATGTTTTCCTTCCTCCTCCTCCCCCAAGTCTCAGCACCTTCACGGTGACCCTCATCACCACTCACACTCTTGAACTCTCTCTTCTTACCTCCTTATGCCCTCTATCCCCACCATCCAAGACAGCCCTCTGTCCCCACTATGTGCATGGCATGGTGCTAAGCATAGAAACAAAGAGGTGTAGAAAGATGATAAGCCCCAAACCCAGTCCCACCCCAACTCCTGGGAGCTTGTGACCCAGCATTAGCAGGAACCTTTCAGTCAACTCTGAAAAGAAAAGGTGACCTGCCACCTTGGGGTACAGGAACTTTGGGTATGGGAATTGGACCTTTTGTCCTTGCTGATTCTGAATATCCAGCCCCCACCCACCCCATAAGTGTCCCTTGATGTCATTAGAAGCAGGGGTCCTGACTCATGGCCTCCTGTTACTGAGTGTTTTAGAAGTCATATACCCCGTCTCATTGTCACTGAGATAGGGAGGGAAACCCAAGCTCCAAGGAAGAGAATAGGCCCTGTCTCTCTTCATTAGCTTGGGCTGGAATTTGCCCAGGAAGGTGGCAGGGAGGGAACTTCTCAGGGAGGAGGGGGCTATAACTGAGGCTGGGAGGTGCCCAAGTTACAAGGAGTGACTAGATAAAACAGGATGACCCAGAGAGGTGGCAGGAGTGGCGCTGGAGTGAGGGAAAGGGAGCAAGCCAATGTGTGAGAGTGGGAGTTTCTGTCTGCCGTAAGATAGAGACCTTGATCAAGACAACTGAGCACCTGGCCTCTGAAATGGCTTCTGTCTCTAGCCACATCTCCATCGCCCGTTAGCTGTGTCCCTATCTCTGGAATGAGTTCTCAGGGTCAAACTCTCCTGGGTATTCTCACTCCAGCCTCTCCCCCTTCTGTTTCTGCGCCTTTTGTCTTTCACACACTCACACTCACCTCCTACCTCCTACACTGTTGTCTGCCTCTTTATGCTCAACTTTCCTTCTATTCTCCTCCCTACTTCCTCCTCTCTCCTGTCTCCTTCTTCTTGTCCTTTCCCCCTTTCCTCTTACCTCCCCCCACCCCCAACCCCTGCCCCGCTTTCTCTTCTAATCCCTATTCTCTGCCTGCGCTTCTCCTCCCTGCTTTCTTACCCTCTGTCTCTATCTTTCCCTCTCTCCCCCCTTCCCACCCCAGCCCCAACAGGAGCCCTTTGTGTCCCGAAGCTCTGCGGGTGGCAGCCGGAATCTACTCCTCCCCAGCCCCCAACAACGCCCAGCTTGGCAGGTCTAGCCAAGGCTTGGTGACGGGAGGTGACTCTCCCATCTCATTGCTCCATCATCCAGTCACAACCCAGCCATTAGCAGCTCTGGTGTCCCCCAAACTGCCGCTGGGTTCATGACAGCTCCAGAATGGGGCTAAGGCCACCAAACACTCTCCACCCAACCTGAGAGGCTCTCTGCACTGGGCTGGCAGGCCGACAGGGGGTTGGGGAATAGGGACAAGGGGATTAGAGGGGTGGCAGGGTGCAGCAGAGTCAGTCACAGGCCAGAGACCCAACAAGAATGTGATCATGATTTGGGCCTCTGCCTGCTCCTAGGCCCAACTCTAAGCTGCCTTCAGTTCCAGGCCCTTATTTTTGTCCATAAGCCCTTGACCATCCCTTGTTCTCTGACCTTCCCTCCTCCTACTTTCTGACTCTGTGCCTTAGGTTTTTCCATCTTTTCCTCCTCTTGGAACCTTTCCTCCCACTCCTCCTCAGTGCCCCTCCCCCAAGGCTTGTGAGAAGAGAACTTATTATTCTGCCACCCCCAGAGTTGGGTACCTTGGCTGTCCTCATCATTCTGGCCATGGCAGCCCCCACAGTCTGCAATGTGTATTGTTCCCACACCCCAAGCCAGAGTAGGAACTCTGGGTTCAAAAGGGGGTATGCAATAAGGGGGTTGGGGAAAAGAGAGATGAGGCCCAGGATTGCTTCCTACTCAAGCCACAGCTGATTAAAGCCTCATCTTCCCCATTGTTCCAGATGTATGGCCGATATACTCAGGACCTTGGGGCCTTTGCCAAAGAAGAAGCTGCCCGAATCCGCCTGGGAGGGCCTGAGTCCTGGAGGGGCCCCCCATCCCCTCGGACTCCCCCAGAGCTCCTGGAATATGGACAGAGCCGTTGTGCCCGATGCCGCAGTGAGATCCATATGGGAGTCGGGGACCTGCTGTGCTGTGTTGAGCTATGAGGGGGCTTCAAAAAGTTTGTGGGGAAACGGAATTAAAAGATAATGGATCCTCTACCAACTTGGAAGTGCTTTCACAGATGCAATTAGAGCTATCCATGGGAAGGGTGGGGTAGAAGGGTAGGCATGCCTTGGTACCAATCTCCCATTTTTCCCTTTCCTGATCTCAGTCTGTTCAGTCCGCTGCCACAAATTCCTAGTGTCCAGGGTTGGTGAAGACTGGATTTTCCTGGTCCTGCTGGGGCTCCTTATGGCACTGGTCAGCTGGGTCATGGACTATGCCATTGCTGCCTGCCTGCAGGGTGAGGACTACAATGGGCAGGGGGTGCTGGGAGAAACCACTCTGCTTCTTCCTTACCACATTTGTCCAAGTATCATAGCTACTGGGCCATTGACCACTTCTACCAGCCAACCTGACCACCCCTTTGGATACAACCACTGCCAATGTCACTGACCTGACATTTCCTATATTGGTCTTTGTCCCAGTGAATGTCCCCTGAGGTCTCGTTCTAACTCCTCTAATCCCAGCTCTGTGTGATATTCCCTGGAACAACTAACTTGTCAGTAGCCCAACGAGGAGTGGGCATGTGCATAGGGAGACCAGCAACATGTCCTCTTCCCACAGCTCAGCAGTGGATGTCCCGGGGCTTGAACACTAACATCTTGCTCCAGTACCTGGCCTGGGTCACCTACCCTGTTGTCCTCATCACTTTCTCAGCAGGATTTACACAGATCCTGGCTCCTCAGGCTGTCGGTACAATAGGCGAGAAGGGGAGGGCATAGGCGGGACTTCCTGGTGGAGCACCCCAGATGATTTTCCTGGGAATGTGCCCCTCCAGGATCTGGCATCCCTGAGATGAAGACCATCTTGCGGGGAGTGGTACTGAAGGAATACCTCACTCTCAAGACGTTTGTAGCTAAGGTCATTGGGTTGACCTGTGCCCTCGGCAGTGGCATGCCACTTGGCAAAGAGGTGACTACAGGTCGGGAGATAATGGAATCCCTTCCCAGTGGTGGAAATAGCCAAGGTGGACCCCTACTCTACTCACTGTCTACCCCCATCTACCTACCAGGGCCCTTTTGTGCATATCGCAAGTATGTGTGCTGCCCTGCTCAGCAAGTTCCTCTCCCTCTTTGGGGGCATCTATGAGGTAAGGGTCAACCCTCTGGGATAAAGGAATGGTGCGCTGCTGAGCCCATGTTCAACGGGTCTCCCACCACTCTCCTCAGAATGAATCCCGGAACACAGAGATGCTGGCCGCTGCCTGTGCTGTGGGAGTGGGCTGTTGCTTTGCAGCACCTATTGGAGGTAGGCAGGGCCGCCCGGATCAGTCTAGCCCCAAACCCTGCCTTTGGCCTTTCATCTGGGTCTCAGTCCTTAGCCCAGGCTTCAGGTAGCACCTTCACCTGTCTCTCGACAGGTGTCCTGTTCAGCATTGAGGTCACCTCCACCTTCTTCGCTGTGCGGAACTACTGGCGGGGTTTCTTTGCCGCCACCTTCAGTGCCTTCATCTTCCGGGTGTTGGCTGTTTGGAACCGTGATGAAGGTATGGGAAGGTGGGATGCTGAAGGAACTCCCTGAGATGACTCAGGCAGAGAGCCCTTGAGGTAGACCTGCCTCCCTCTGTTGCCTTCCCTTCAGAGACCATCACTGCTCTCTTCAAAACCCGATTCCGGCTTGACTTCCCGTTCGACCTACAAGAGCTGCCGGCCTTTGCTGTTATTGGGTGAGGAGCTGAGGGAGAAAAGCTGTGGGAAAGGTCTCCCTGAGAAGCCTGCTTTCACCCTGGTTCTTCTTCTCCCTCTAGTATTGCTAGTGGCTTTGGGGGAGCCCTCTTTGTCTACCTGAACCGGAAGATTGTCCAGGTGATACGGAAGCAGAAGACCATCAACCGCTTTCTCATGAAGAAGTGAGTTGGTGCTAGGATCCTCTCTAGGCTGTGAGGATCATAATGGGACAGGAGACAGTCATAGATGCAAACAGTGGCCAAGTCAAAAACAGGCAGCCCATTGAGAAAATCAGTCCATAGTATTTTCCCAGGCTGACTGAACATTTTGAATTTCACATGAATTACCTGGAAATTGGCACATTTGAATTCTTAGTCTATGGCAGGTAACAATGCTCTCTAGAGGGTGTTTGAATTCTTAGTCTGGCCCAGGTAGCAATGCTTTCTAGAGAGTGTTTGTTTGAGCCTTGGTCCCACCCCCACCCCATGAACCTGGGGACAGGTGACATTTTTATCTCTAGAGCCCCTTTCCAGCTTTGCCATTTACACACCTCCCTCTGTTGTGCTCATGATAATTGGGAGGGGGAAAGCTTCCCTTGGGACTGATGTCCTTCAGGGAGAGGGCAGCCAGCTGAACCTGCTCCTTGCTACACCTTTGGTTAACTGCCATGAGTGACCCCAGCTTCCCTCAACACTGACCTTCACCTTAAGTCACCACAGAGGAATAGATGGAAGCAGAAACTTCACACCCTCACACAATGTGAGGATTCTGGAGCTGGAGGTAGGCTCACAGCTCAGAGGTCTTCAAGAGAGGCCTGGGAAGTAGACCTGCTGCTGCTACTGCTGCTGCTGCTGCCCACCTTTAGAGTCAGAAATTGACAGAAAGACCTTTGGGTCATCTCTTCAGCTCCTTGTATTGTAGCCCCAGTCCACCCCTCAGAGCAACCATATCATGAGCAGCAAAGGGGACTTCTCTCAGCACTGTGTGCTTTGATGTAAGAACCAAGACTCTGCGCAGACCTCAACCCTGAAAGAAATGAGGGCACCCAAACTGTCACCAGTCATAGTAAGTGGACCACCCATGTTTGACACTGTGAACCCTACATGTCTAGACGCCTGCTCTTCCCAGCTCTGGTGACTCTACTTATCTCCACTCTGACCTTCCCTCCTGGTTTTGGACAGTTCATGGCCGGACAGGTAACCCCACCCTGAATGGCATATGTGCTTTCCCTTGGGACATAATGTATCCTTTCTGACCCCAGCTGCTGCAAGACTATGGGATTCCTTGTTACCCCTGGATTCCTGTGGGCCCCTTCCCTGTATGTCATCTGCTCCATAGTCTGAGGCACCCTGTTTACCTATAGCTCTCACAGAAAGAGACACTGGTTACCCTGTTTGACAACCGGACGTGGGTCCGCCAGGGCCTCGTCGAGGAGCTAGAGCCGCCTGGCACCTCACAGGCCTGGAGCCCACCGCATGCCAATGTCTTCCTTACACTGGTCATCTTCATTCTCATGAAAGTAAGGCTCCTTATATAAAAGCTAATGTTTACATGGGCTTATTAGATCAGCAGGAATCAACTCAAAGGCAGTGGGTTTGGTGGGCTTATTAGATGCCTGGTACTGCCCTAGGCACTTTCCATGTCTCACTCCTTTTTTAAGCCTTACAAAGATGCTATGAGAAAGATACTGTCCTCATTTTAGAGATGGAGAAATTGTGGTACAAACTGACCCAAAGTCACAGAGGTGACAGAATGAGGATTTGAACCCAAATAGTTTGGATCTAGAGTCCTTCCCCTTCCTTTTCCCGTCACCATCACTGGAAATAAAGGATAGTTTATGCCTGACTGAAAAGCAAAGTGGATTCCTCTGGGGTGTGTAGCTGTGTGGGGGCTGGGAGGCACTGGTGCCTGTTTGAACAGCCTCCTGCCTGCAGTTCTGGATGTCAGCTCTGGCCACCACCATCCCAGTGCCCTGTGGGGCCTTCATGCCTGTCTTTGTCATTGGTGAGTTCAGCTGCCTATTCTCCCAGTATGCGTCCTGCTCAACCCTGGCCACTCCCTCTCTGCTGGGGAATGGGTTTTGGTCCAGCCCTAGCCCCCACCCCCACCCTGCAGGGTTGTTCCCTGCACTGAATGACCCACTGGCCCCTCCCCCACCCTCTGACCCTTTCTCTTCCTAGAGCCCCTGCCCTCCCCCTCCACTACCTATTGCTCTTCCCACCCCCCTCCCTGAAGGAGCAGCATTTGGGCGTCTGGTAGGCGAAAGCATGGCTGCCTGGTTCCCTGATGGAATCCACACAGACAGCAGCACCTACAGGATTGTGCCCGGGGGATATGCAGTGGTAGGTGAGTGCCCAGGTCCAGATCTCCTTGGGAGGACCCTTTGCCCAGCCACCGGGTCTGAGGCTCTGGTGCCCCCTGCTGGCCATCCCTCATCTGCAGAGGCTTAAGACCCAGGGTTGGACTGGGCTGCCCTGAGGGGGCTCCCACACATTCCGTCCCTGGTTGGAGAGGGTCATCTGGGGCCTGGATTCCCTGAAGATACTGATGGGCGCCGTCCTCAGGAGCAGCAGCACTGGCGGGAGCAGTGACACACACAGTGTCCACGGCTGTGATTGTATTCGAGCTCACAGGCCAGATTGCCCACATCCTTCCCGTCATGATTGCTGTCATCCTGGCCAATGCCGTGGCCCAGAGCCTACAGCCCTCACTGTACGACAGTATCATCCGCATCAAGAAGCTGCCCTATCTGCCAGAGCTGGGCTGGGGCCGACATCAGTATGGAGGGCTGGGAGTTGGAGTGGGGGGGTGGGGCAGGAGAAGGCATTGTAGGGGCTCTCACCCTCTTGCACCCACAGCTACCAAAGGTCCTGAGCTAGTGAAGCCTGGTCACTAGCCACCAGGCTTCCTCTTGGTCTGATATGCCCTTGGTTATACCATGAGGATCTATGGCTGGCCCTCTTGATCAGAAAGAAGGGTGGGAAGTAGTTCTTAGCCTTTGGTCCCCATCCCCATAAACGCTGGGACTTCCCTTACCCTGGGGAACGTGCTGTTTGGGGCAACCCTCCTTATGCCGACCACAAAGCAAGTGGCCCTCTCTGCCCCCAGGCAGTACCGGGTGAGAGTGGAAGACATCATGGTGCGGGATGTTCCCCATGTGGCCCTCAGCTGCACCTTCCGGGACCTACGGTTGGCACTGCACAGGACAAAGGGCCGCATGCTGGCTCTAGTGGAGTCCCCTGGTGAGGCCAGGAGGGGGCCCGGTGCTGGGACTTATCCAAAGGCTCCATGCTGAGGGAGGGCACAGGGACAGGTCAGGAATAGTCCTCTTGGTTCCAAAGGGAATGGGCCACATTGTGGCATATCCAAGACCCACTCTGGGTGCAAGGGGGGTAGAAGGTCCTCACCGGAAATTCCTGAGTCCTCCCACCTGCTCTTTCTAGAGTCCATGATTCTGCTGGGCTCCATTGAGCGCTCACAGGTGGTGGCATTGCTGGGGGCCCAGCTGAGCGCAGCTAGGCGGCGGCAGTACATGCAGGAGAGGCGACGGGCTGCCCAGGCCTCTCCACCATCTGATCCAGAGCGTCCTCTCAGCCCTGACGACACTGCCGTCTGCTTTCAGGTGAGAGAAAAGCCCGTCTATCTCCCCACACACACCCCCACACTTCCTGAACATCACTGCATAGACTGATTGGGAGGGTGGTGTGGGAGCAGTCTCACCAGCACCTTCCTGCCCATGCAGGTAAACACAGAGGACCCAGGTTTTCCTGCAGCCCGGGGGGAGAGTCACAAACCCCTAAAGCCTGCTCTCAAGAGGGTGTCCAGCAACACCATGACCCTCAGGGAGAGTCCTACAGGTGAGCCCATCTCCCACTATTATCTCCCTCTGCCCCCCATGAGATGGAGCACATCCCAGCTGGAAGAGGTTGTCCAGTTGCATGGGTAGAGCTGGGACACCCCTTCCTTTTGCCTTCCTTGCCTTTTCTGACCTTCTTCTCAAAAGATGACATTGGCCCCTGAGCCTTGTGTTTGGCTCACAGGGAGTGGGGAGCCAGCAGGTATTGCCCTCAGAAGCCTCTTCTGTGGGAGTCCACCTCCTGAGGCTGCTTCAGAGGTGAGTGGTGGACCCTCTTCTGGCCTTCTTTCTTCCCAGCTCCCTGTCTGACCCCAACTCGGACTCTTGACTCTCATTAACCCTGCAGTGCATGACACCCACCCACCCCCTTCCTTCCGTCAGTTCCTCCTCCACTCCATGACTTCCTGCCCCTCCTCCCTATAACATCAACTCTTTTCTCTGGTTTGACTCAAACAAAGCTGGAGAAGTCGGAATCATGTGACAAGCGCAAGCTAAAGCGGGTCCGAATCTCCCTGGCCGTAAGCATTCCCTTGCTTCCTGCAGTCCAGCACTAAGCCAGGGAAGGACCAGGGTCTAGGCTGGGGAAAACCCACCCCCAGGGATTAGGGGAGGGCATTGATCACCCCAGCCTCTAACTGCCAACCTCCCTCTTTAGAGCGACTCAGATTTAGAAGGCGAGATGACCCCCCAGGAGGTAAGGTGTGACTGGACTCTGGACCCTGTATTCTCTTGGGTGTGTTCGGCCATCATCTTGGCTGCTGTTCCTCTGGGAGGGACTGTTGGTTAGGAACATGGACAGGCCAGTTTTAAGCAGTTATTGGTGTCACCTCCTTCATGCTGCTGGTGTCTTTCCCCAGATTCTGGAATGGGAGGAGCAGCAACTAGATGAGCCGGTCAACTTCAGTGACTGCAAAATCGACCCTGCCCCCTTCCAGCTGGTGGAGCGCACCTCCTTGCACAAGGTAGAGCGGGCAGCCTGGGCCTAACCAGGACTCTCAGGACAGGCGGGGACCTAACCAACTCCCCATCCTCGTGTGACACACACACACATTTGGACTCAGGCCAGTGGGGAAGGAAAGAGGAGCAGAGAGTGGGCTCGATGTGGAGATGTTCTTCAGCAACACTGCATTAGGAACAGCTGCAGTGATGAGAGATTGGGAGCCTAGGGCCCTTCACTTCTTTTTCCTCTGCTTAGCCCTGCCCCCAGGGAACTCTGGACCAAGCAGCAACAAAGACAAGGCCTGAACTGGGTGGAAGCCAGTAGGCTGGGCCAGGGTCAGAGCTAGGCAGGAGGCTGCCAGAGCTCAACAAGGCTGATACACCCACGCTGAAAAGAAAACTTACAAAAAAAAAAAAATGGGTGAGAAACAGGCAGGATAAGAAAATCTAATAAACAAGCTAACCAACTCCCAAGTAGGGGTGAGAACACTGCAGTGAAGAGATAAACAAAGATGAGAAACGCCCAGTGGGGCCTTGGAATGTCAGACCCCAGAAAGTCTGACTTAATGTGGGCCAGAGGAAAACTTGTATGGACACAGCACATCACAGAAGTAGGGAGAGAAATTGAATACAGACAGGTTGGTGCGTGTGTGAGGCCCATTCCAAATGCAGAAGAGAGCTCTCTGTGGAGGGCTGACTGCTTCAGGGTCTCCCTGGCCTCCCCTCTGGCACCTCCAGGCTTCCAAGTAAAGGACAGTGTGCAGGCAACATCTAGCAGGTTGGTAGAGCTCCTGGGATCAGCAAAAGTGAAGGGATGTTTTAGATAAAATTTTGACAAGACTTCATATGGGAGCCTCCGAGGCATGGGGGATAACAACGGATGAACACTACATTTCCAAAGTCTGTAGCTGGGGCTTCTAGCTTCAGCCATGACAGACACTGCTCAGCCAAGAGCCAGCAGAGCACAGGCAAGCCAGGGCTAAATTAGGAAGGACACACAGGACAAAAGAGAAACAAAAAAATCAAAAGGTAATAAAGAAACCTACTAGCCTTTGGGTAAAGACCTCAGATCAAAGTGAGTGGGTAAACCACACTGATGTTGCAAGAAAAAAAAAAAAAAAGAGCTAGGCCTGAGAATAATACATTGGGCTTATACAAAGTCTTTCTTCCTGAGACAGCTAAAGCTTTTCTCCAGCGATCCTAATCCTTAAACATATCATGATGATAAGCAGCAAGATGAAAAGAAGAATGCTGTTGCTGCTGGTTTTTGAGCTTGCTATGTACCAGGCACAGTCCTAAACTCTTCATGTTTACTTCACTCCTCATAATCACGCTGTAAAATATCGTGATATTCCAGTTTTGACAGATGAGAAAACTGAGACCAAAGAGACTAAGCAAGTTGTCCAAGGCCACAGCTAAAGTGGCCTAGAATCCAAGATAGTCTGACTCCAAAGCCAAAAACCACAGGGAAACTGAGGCATGCAGTGAGGAGGTCACTTGCCCGAGTCAGTACAGCAGTCAGGCCCAGAGCCCAGATATTCTGGCCCCAATCCCAGGATTCTTTCAGAAGGCCATGTTGGCCCTCTCCCTGTCAGTTCACTGTTTCCAAGCCCAAGAAGTACAAGGCCCACCAATGGGCTTCTGGGTGTCTAATTAAATTAAAGTGAAAAAGAACAAAGTAGGTGTTTGTTACAAGCTTAAAAATCAGGAAGAGAAAAAGCCTTTGAGGAACCAACAAACAACAGTACAAAGAACTGAAAGCGATAAGAACATAAAAGATCAGAATTCAAAATATCTTTGCGGGCCTGAGGAATTAATAAATAGTAGCCCAATTAAGTTCACAAGGGGAACATTCAGAGAGGAGAGGATACACTGAAGACTATTTAGGGACCTGTGCAAATAGGGATCATCATATTCACCAAGCACCTCATTCATTCTGAGACCACCTACAAAGGACTCAGGGAGACTGAGTGCTAGCAGTACCGCCAGATTGGCTGAACCCAAATTCTGGCTCTGCTATATTAGCCAGCTGTGTGATCCTGAGAAAGCTCTAGGCCTCTCTGTGCCTCACTTTCCTTATCTGTAAAATGGGGATATAATGGTACCCACCTCATAGGTTATTTCTGAGGATTAAAGAGTTAATTTATGTGAAGCACTATGCCTGGCCTAGTAGTCAATGTTAAGAATTATTGCTATTACTGATACTGAGAGATGAACAGTGGTGGATATCAAAAAGGAACTACCCCTGCCCTCAAGGACTTTAGTTCCTTAAGACAGAGGTGTCTACCAATCATTATACTCCACTGTAACACACACCTCTAGTAGGGACAAGAGCACAATACCCAGAGAACACAAGGGAAAGGGTGATTCTCACCTTGGAGGATTGCAAAAGGTGTCAGATTTATTTATTTATTTAGATGAGAGAGTATAGTGAGAAGGATTAATGGGACTTTAAAAGATGGTGTCATGAGGGAAGGGTTGGAGATGTGGAAGAAATGGATTATTTTCAGAAATGGATGACTGTGAAGCTTGAATCGGGAGTACATGGCAGACTCTGAGGCTGCTGTAATTGTCTTGGGCCATTCTAGGGAGCCTGCCCTCTACCTTCCATTGGAAAGAGCATTACGATGGCAGAGCCCAGCTGGAGAGTAGGGAGGCAGAAAGCAGAACCCTCAGGAAGTGTGGTCCCAATCCTGGTGAGAGGCGTTGATGCTGGGAGTTGGAAGAATGGCCCAGATGTTCAGGAATTAGATCTGTAAATGCTTGGCAACAAATGGGTTGCAGACTTTTAAGGTGTAAATCATACCAAACCTATTGCTGTCGATTCCAACTCGGTCACCTCACAGGACAGAGTAGAATTACCCTAGAGGGTTTCCGAGGCCATCATCTTTAACTGAGGAGTCCTGGTGTAACGCACTAACCGAAAGGTCGGCGGTTCAGACCCATCATCCACTCCTCAGAAACACTATACAGGGGTGCTATGAGTCGGATCTGACTTTACAGCACTAAACAACTCCACCAAAGCAGACTGTCAAATTTTTCTCGCAGAGTGACCAGTGGTTTCGAACTGCATACTTTTTGGTTAGCATCCAACTCCTTAATGAACCCCCAGTGTTAATTCATTCTGATTAAGATTGTGGGAGAAAAATCCAGGGGAACTATTCAATATGATCCTTGGAAGAATATAATAGAGGGATTATTTGACCATGAGACAAGACTAAGGGAGTATTTAAAACAGGAAATTTTACAAGAAAGATGTTGTTCTTTGAAGTCAGACAATAGATTTAAAGCTAACTTGTAGCACACAGGTTTTAAATTAGATACAAAGAGGCACTTAATAACCACATATAATTTACAAGTTAGTGAAGAAGAGCTTATTCTAAAAGTTTAAACTTCTAGCCCCTTTTAATTATAAATACATCATGCCGTGGATGGGGAAAGCTTAAGAAAGTTCTAGAAATCCCTTCTTAAAGCTAAAATTTAGCAACTGTATGAGAACACATTTTTAAAGTGTTCATTAAAATGAATTCTAAATGATATTCAAGAAGTCAGGTTATTAATGCCCCTTTTGGTTTCAAACAAGATGCTTAAAAATATACTCAGAAGAATGAGATAAAATAATAGGTCAAAAATTCCAAGAACTGCTGAGTCAGAGGAGTTTTTTAAGACATCTGGTTCAAGAAAATCCACTTACAGCACTAGGGGAACTGGCTGACAATTTCTGAACTCTTGGTGACTGCATTGGAAAGCTTGAGGGAGGGCCAAAACAACAAAAACATGGGGGGATGGAGGTGACTGTTATTCTCTAGATTGCAAGCTGAGTCTCACCAGGAGCTGGGATGCTGCTAGAAGATGGACGGACTGTGAGGGGTATAGAATGCTTCAGGCAAGATTAAGGTGTGGGAGGCAGAATGGAGAGAGATCAGAACTAATTAAGGGCAAATGGAAAGCATTCCGTGTCAGCCACTAGAAGGTAGGGTAAGAGGCCCAGAATTCAGGGCCCAGTATCCCTAAGGTGGTATGGACACACCTACTCTGGGTATGTCTGTAATCAGACACCCCCACAGGTCTGAGTTGTGCTTCCCCCCTTTAGCACATAGTGTGATGAAAAGCAGCATGGGGATGCAGAGCCACTTCTTAGAGGTGACCTGCAGCAAGTCAGTCACAGCTTGGAGGAACCTCCTGCTGCTGCTCTGTAGAGTGGGCATAATACCTAGTTCTCAGGACAATATTAAAATGAAATAAATGTAAGAAAAACTGAGCACATGCTAGGTCAATCACTAAATATACTAGTCAAACAGTTGGTCTCTCCTATATCCTTCTCCAGCATGGGACTAAGACTCTGTCTTGTCCCCATTCTCCATCAACATAAACAGCATTGTGACTGTCCAGTTTCTGAGGCCTGGTCACAGCAACAGTCTCATTCTTTTTCCCTCCAGTGGACCCATCCCTTCCCCCACCACCTGTGCTTCCCTCCTTCTATCACCCTTTGGGTTCAGCGACACCTCCACATGCACTAAGCTCAGTCTTCTCTTGCCCCGCAGACTCACACCATCTTCTCACTGCTGGGAGTGGACCATGCATACGTCACCAGTATTGGCCGACTCATTGGGATTGTCACGCTTAAGGAGGTGAGATAACAGTGGCCACCAAAGCCACCTCCCTCTTCCAAAAAGGCAAGGATGCTTATGTGCAGCTCACCCAGGGGAAGAGCCCCGCTGACCCTCTCACTTTTCCAGCTCCGGAAGGCCATCGAGGGCTCTGTCACAGCGCAGGGTGTGAAAGTCCGGCCGCCCCTTGCAAGCTTCCGTGACAGTGCCACCAGCAGCAGTGACACAGAGACCACTGAGGTGCATGCACTCTGGGGGCCCCGCTCCCGCCATGGCCTTCCCCGGGAGGGCAGCCCTTCTGACAGCGATGACAAGTGCCAGTGAAGCTTTCCACAGGCAGCAGGAATGGCAGGGGCCCAAGCTGTCAACCCGGATCCTGCAGCTCTCACAGACCCTCTGCCTTGGGAACACAGGTGGCAGTTGCAGTGGGGGCTGGAGCCCCAGCCTCTTCCAGTTCATCCTGCCTGGAACCTGAACCATGCTTCTCTCAGGGGGCAGACCAGCACTGCCCTGGTGGCATGGGGATGTGGCCATATGACCCCGCTCCCCTCTTGTGGGGAAAAAGGGTAGAACTAAGATGGGTTTATACTGGAACCTCCAATGACCAGATGTATATAGAGATTTATAAAGATTTTTATATTAATTTAATAAAACAAATTCTTAAATAGAAAAAAATAAATACCTAATGAGCCACTTATGTATAGAATGCCTGTGCCCGTTGGCTCTTTTTATATTGGACCCTCTCTCTTTACATGCCAAAACCTACAAGATTCCTAATTCTGCAGCCACCCACAGCCATAAAACTCTAAACTCTAGAGCTGTGTCCTTGGAATGCTGGATATGCCAGAAGCTTGGTCATGAATAGCCTGGCTGGGACAGGGGTCCCAGGTCTAACTTTACCCTTCCTGTCAGCCAGGAAAACCACTACCCTCTTCCCTCCTCAAGGAGAGACACTTCCTCATGGTTGTCGCTCACTGGCACAATTCTTGCCTTAAGCAGCCATCAGCTGACAACTGTCCTGTCACTCCGCTCCCCCTTGTGGTCTTCTTTGGAAGAGCTCTAAATTCGCAGCTCTGTAGCAGCAAACAGAGCCATCCCTTCTTCCTACTGCCCCCCAAAGAGAGCTCTAGGTGAACGGGCACCCCAGCTAGCTGTGAGCTGTCAGGACCCCACACACATATCCTCTACTCCTCCACCAAGGGCAACAGAGGGCTGGAAAAGGCCCAGGCCCTGCCTGGGGGAACCAGGAAAAGGGGAGGATACTGAATTTTGCCATCCCAATCTCTCCCTCCCAGAGAAGACTCGACTGAAAGAACAGACCAAAGACCCTCTCTTTAAGAAAAAACAAGATTTAGAGACGATGGAGAGGTGAAGCACAGCACAAGCCCAGCGGAACAAGGGGCCCTTGAGAAGGGATCGATCAGTGGGCTCCAGGAGGGTACTGGAGTCAGCTCCCCCCGGGTGGGGGTGATTCTATCAAGCACTGCACATGGACTTGGAGGTGAGGAGAGAAGCAGAGAAGAAAGAGGTGTCAAGAGGCTGGAGGGAGAGGCCAGGCTCCCTCCCATTCCAGCTGGCCACACAGCCCAGTCACGATCCCCTTAGGGGTTCACATCATCCAAGGAGGAAACATGTGGCTTTTTTTGATTTAAGAACATGAACATCACCACGGTCTGCCACAGCTGTAGCCATGCCCCAGGGGCCCCGGGCAATCCCCGGCAAGCCCCTGGAGTCGGGGCAGGACATGCGCCCCCTAGCCCGGGCCCTGCCTCCTCTCCAAACACTTTCATGCAAAACACACAACAGAGGAGTGAGTGCTCCCAGGAGCCCTCGGGCCCACAGAGCTCTGCTGGAAGCCTCGTGCCCACACTTGGGCATGAAAGCTCTGCCCCCAGCAGCAGCCAGGGGACACATGCCATCACCAGGCAGGATTTGGGTCACTGTTCTTCCGGCTCTGGCTCCTCCTCTTCTAAGGACACCACCCCAGAAGAAGCCACATCAGAGACTTGCCGTTGCCGTTCCCAGCTGCCCACTGGCAGTGGGCAGAGTGGCTGGCAGTCCTCACAAGGAGCTGACTCCTCGTCAGCAGGGGAAAGGCAGGACTCCGTAAGCGGCGAATTGTAGAGTGAGTCCTGGGTCTCCAATGGGCCCAGGCTGCGGAAGGCACTTTCCCGGTTGGGGGGCAGTTTGGCAAGCAGGAGCTCTTCGCCCAGTAACTGGGAGGCCAGGCGGGCTGGGGAGCCCAGCAGCCCATCCTCGAGGCTGCAAAGACTAGAGCACAGGGTGTCTGGGGAAACGGTCTGTGAGCAGTCGCTCTCAGGCTCCACGGATCCCTGACGCACCGGCCGGGAGAAGCGCCGGCCACTGAAAAGGTCCTGGAGGTGGGGCCCCAGGGGCAGCTGCCCAGATATGTCTGGTAAGGGAGAGAAAAGAAGACAGCTCTGCTGGCCCCACTTCAATTGACTACATACATCCACCCTTCCCCTCTCCCAGTCCCCTTCTGCCCACTTACCCGTATACCACTTGGGGTGTTAGATAAGAACAGGAGCCAGGTCACCTTGGGCAGGTCATTTAACCTCTGTTTTTCAAATGGTGAATTGGGGATTTGAATAGTACCTACCTTATGGGGTCTTTGAGAGAACAGAATCTGACACACAATCAGCCAACAATAAATGCCGGGTTACCACATTTGGTCGTGCAGGTTGTTCACTGCAGAGGCAGGGAGTGAGAGCTGAAATCCAGCTCATACTTTGCTCACCAAGCAGTATGTCCTGGCATAAGCCTGCACCACCCAGAGAAAGGGGTGCCTTTTTCTAATTTGCACAAAGATTCCATGTAGGCTAGTAGCGGTCCTAGATAAATGTTAGTTATTATCATTCTCCCAGGGGCCAAAGCAGGCCTGGAACTCAATCAAACAGAAACGTTTGTGGTTTTAAGGCTCTGTCTTGGCCCTGGACATCCAAATCAGTTCCCTCTGGACCACGGCAGCAGTTTCTGATCTACTCTAATGTACTGCCCACCTTGCAGAGCTTGATAGTTAGCTGGAAGGGTGGGGGCCAGTAAAGGCAGTCTTCAAAGGCAAGGAGGCGGGCATGGAGACCAATGAAGCTTGAACCCAGAGCTACAGAGTCCACCACGTGGTCTGGGTGTGGATGATGATAGAAGGGTTATGCAGCTGTGCACAGCTCTACAGGGTCCCCTCTACATACACTGGCCTGGAAGGCAGGCAGGCACGTCCAGGCTGGAATGCAAGGATGCTGAGATGGAGGCAGGGCCGTTCCAGGCCCAGTACGCTTTCCTGTTTGCCTGGGGCCACAGCCTCCAGAGGTGCTGTGCTGCTGCACTGCAGAGCCTCTGCACTGCATAGCCAGCCAGCAGGCTAGGAGAGTCAAAGGTCCAGGCAGACCCTCCCTGCCAGACAAACTGCTGTAGAGGAGGTGTCAGAGAGGGCAACTGGAGAAAGGGAGCTGCTACATTTCCAACCACATCCTTGGGTGTGGACACCCCTCCCACCCTTGGAATATCAAAGACTGCCTGGACAGCCTTCCAATGGCTTAGGGTATCCTGGGTGCAGTACTGAACTCCAGGGTGTGTCAGACAGTTCCATCCTAGCTGGCAGTACTAGAAAACAATGTCCTCTCACCTGTATCAGTTCCCCCAGCAAAGTCCTCGTCATAGGATTCATCGGTCGAGTCCTCACCATCCACTGAAGACCAAGCCCGGAGCTTGGCTTCTGCAATGGCAAACTGCTCAGCCACTCCTGCAGGGGTAGGCATGGAATTCATTAACAGAGGTAAGCTAAAATTAGGGCTCAATGGGGAGACAGGATAGGGAGTGTTGTGGAAAGCCTCCAACTCGTACACCAGGTCCCAGGAGATGAGCGAGCGCAGCCCCATGACAAATATGTCACTCATCTCCTTTCTACCACCTACCGGCTGCAAAGCGAGCTTCTTGTTCGCCTTCACTGAGGTCCGAGTAGGAGGAAAAGGCGGATTCGAGGGCAGCAGGTGAGTCGCTGGGCTTGCTCCAACCCTTCCATTCAATGAGGTGAGCCACTCGGCCCTGGGCCATGGCAGTGGGTTTGGTCACGTGGTCCTTCACCACCTGGGAAATACCTACAGGTGGGGCAGAATGGAAAAGCCTGGTAAAAGAGTACCTAAAGCAAGGAGATCGCAGGGTGGTGGTAATTAGGGTCCACATGTGCCTTTGGGTGAATGGGGGGGGATCAGATTCATCTGAAGAAAGTGAAGAGAAATCCCAGCAAGGTCATGGGATACAGTCCCAAAGGCCATGCCAAAAAGGAGGAGAAAGGACAAAATGGCAGAGGTGTGACAGGGGGCTAGCATACCATGCAAGGAGGATCTGGCCAGTGCAGCAATCTCCTGGATAGTTAGGGCTCTCCGGGACTTGGGCAGCATCGCGACTGTGTCTTCAACATTCACCTTGGGTTACAATCATCAGAGGGCTAGTGCCCCTTTGACAACAGAGACTTCCCCGCACATACCCATCCCCCACCCACGGAGTCGAGAGTTGGGAAGGGTTACCAACCAAGGCAGTACACAGGTCCCAGTGGCTGCCAGGAAGTGAAAGAGGGCAAAAGCTAGGACCAACAAACCGTATCTTCCCAGGGAGCAAGGGAACAGGCCCAAGGGAGCATCACTGCCACTAAAGTCTCTACCTTCCCAGCTCCCAATGGGGAAGAAGACAGGTTGGAGAGCCAAGGACTGAAGGCGTTGAGAGAAGGGGAGAGAACAGGGGAGAGGTCGTGGCATCAAGGACTTCTTCAAAGTCCTCTCCCTTTTCATCCCGTCTTTTTCTCAGTCTTCACATCCACATTTCAGCTGTTTCTAGACTGCCTATCAGAGCCCCAAACTCAACATGACCCATATCACACCCAACACCTTCTTCTCACATCTGGCCCTGCTTCCTGATTTCCTAATTTCCATCACCTGCCACTCTCCGAAGGAGCTTTGGTAGCGTAGTGGTTACAATTCGGGCTGCTAATCTCATGGTCAGCAGTTCAAAACTACCAGCTGTTCCGTGGAAGAAAGACGAGGCTTTCTGCACCTTGTAAAGAGTCACAGCCTCAGAAATCCTGTACAGGGTCGCTGAGTCGGAACCCTCTCCACAGCACATAACAACAACCACTCTCCCATTCACCCTGGAGTCCAATCTCGGCATTAGCATCAGCTTTCTCCTAAACTTTGCTTGCTCCTATCTGTTGCTAAAACCTGATTTCCACTCTCGCTGCCACTGCCCTTCCTCAAACCCTCAATTTCCTGCCAAGATTAGCACAGGTGGTCCCCCCAGCTTTATTCAATCTCCTGTTTTTCTCTTGGCCAAGACTGTTCTGTATAGTCATACAACACACTCACACAGAGCTTCTCTTTCTCTCTCTCTCTTCCTGTGGCTGGCTGGTGGCTCCTTCTCATCCTTCAGTTTTTGGCTGAAGGAGCCTTGGCTCTGAGGAGTCTTTCTAACCCACCCTCTAGTAGTTCATCCTCCCTGTCTTTTCTAAAAAAAAAATCACTATCCTCTATTAATTTCCGGCATTCACAGCCCTTAAGCATGGTATGTAGTTAGTTACAGGTCTTTCTTGTGCATGTTCTTGTTTCTTGTCATTCTCCCTTTAGCTCTTTGAGCTCTGTTTTAGGTACTGCTGTACTCCAGTGTTTAACCAGCACCCCGTACAGGGTAATCCCCCCCAACAATACAAGCTGGATGAATAAGGCACGGTATAAATGTACAGATAATTTTCCTGGAGTGCAACTAGTCACAGTATGCCTTCATTTCAAATCCTTTCAGAGCTCTCCCACTGTCCAGTGACATAAATGCAGACTTCACTCTGTAAGGCCCCTGCCTCCTTCCAGGTTGGTATTAATCCAGTACTGATCTCCTCTAACCAATAAAGCCCTACTTCTCCACCTTCCCAGCCAGGAGGCAATCCTCCTGCCTCTAGCCAAAAGAATCCACATTTCCTTTGGGCTAAGAATACTAGTCTTGCCTAACAAAATGCTTCCCACCATTTAAAGACTGACTCAAGAAATATTTCTAGCCCACAGTTTTCTCTCCTGGTTTGAGTCCTCTGGCAGCCACCTTCTAATACATATGCACATACACACAACATTCCCCTTTCATCTCTTCTGAGACACCAGAAAGCAAGGTCTTAGCCTGGTTCACATGGGTTCCTACTCTCACTCAGCACCTAGCTCAATGTTCCTTGGCCACAGCACATCCCCTCCTCGAATTCCCAGCTCTCACAACAGGGCCTCCACCTGCTCCTGGACCTCAGGCCCTTCAGGGAGGGAGGTGGGGGGCACTTTCCTCAGGTGAAGCCTGGAGCTTCCAGCCAGACCTGGGGGAGAAGCACTGGCTGGGTGTTCCCTGGGTGTTTCCTACCACACAAACATTTTGCCAGCACAGAAATCATAGGCATACTGACTGTGTTGATGCCGAGACATTCTCCCTCCCTCTTCTCACTCCCCCTAGCCCTAGCCACAGTCATCCATGCCCAGCGCTTCTGTGGCCAAGGCCCAGCGAAAAGGTGTGTGTCTCCCTGGCAACCCATCACCATGCAACAGGGTCTCCAGGGATACGGCCTGGGATGCGCTGACGTCAGCGCCACCAGCACAAGCTGGCCCGCCCGCTGGCACAATGCAGAGCAAAGCAGACCGGGCGGGGGCGGCCTTGCAGCCCAGCCAGCCGATAGCACCTCCGCTCACAGGAAAAGGGAGCCAGGAGCAGGCTGGTGAGGCGGGGGTGGGCATACAGATATACAGATCCCCTTTATGTGACTGCAGTCCTTTCTCCCTCCTCACCCCGCCCCCAACACAGGGAAGGAGGGTGCACAGCACCTCTGTTAAGTCCTGGCTGTCCACAGAGGAAGGACGGGAGGACCGGCTCCAGCCTCGCAGAGTCCGAGCAGATCCCAAGGAGGTTAAGGAGAGGCCTCGAGGAAGTTCGATCCACTCCACAGCCCACGAAGGGTCCGAGGCTACTGAGGGGTAGGGGGAAAGCTATTCAGCAGGTCCCCTACTTCTGCCAGGATCCCCATTTTCATCCAATCTCACCGTATCACTTCTTTCCCGTCCCCTCCCCTCCCACCCCACAATATGAGCGACCATTGGTGCTCTCCTTAACTCCCACAGCCCTGACCCTTAGGCCCACCAGTCACTTTTCTCCTCTGAATATATTTTACCATTAAAATCCCAGGAAAGAAACCCAAATTTTGTTAAATTCTGGATCTTCTCCCACAGTTTCCCAGCCTGAGCATTCCTGTTGGAGAGCAAACGGAATTCCTCCACCACCATCACTGGACCCTGGCAGGCTTGCTGCTGCCTTCTCTTGCCTCAGATCTTTCCTCTCCCCAGCCTCAGTTGGAACGCAACTCTTTACTCTTCTTTGATGGTAAACCCATGTTTTTTTACCTCAGTTCCCCAGAGTCTTTTCCTAATGCCCTCTCTGGCCCTGGGTCCTTTTCCTGCTTCTGCCTGGTTCCCAACATCCAAGCCAGAGTAATTTTCCTCTTGCTACCTGAGCACCCGGCTTCCCATCACCTCCCAGATCACATCTATGGTCCCTGGTCTCACCTCTGCGACTTGTCTGACAAGTCCATCGTCCTCCAGGCCCTTCACGCTGCCACACAAACATTTTGCCCAGCACAGAAATCATAGGCATACTGGCTGTGTTGATGCCGAGACTCAAAAGCCCAGAAACACTCCAGGCTCAGCTCCCAGTTCTATTCCTGTTTTGGCTCCGGATGCTGAAACAGTCCCCTCCCCACTTGGAACTTTTGCCTAGTCACATAAGGAGAATATTCTTGCCTCATGGTTTCAAGAAGGTGGGGGTGCAAGGTGACCAACCAAACTCTCTGGGGCTCTGGGAACTGAGGCCCATCCCCTAGACAGTGCCAATGGACAGTGTACATCACAACTGACCTTTAGCTGGAGCAGCCGTCTCTGTCCCTGAGCCTCAGCCAGCTGGTGGTCCCCAGAAATGCTACCAACCAGAAGGAAGACATGAAGTTACAGGCCATCCCTGGCTCCCAGCTGATCCCTAACTAATCAGGGCTCACAAGGCCAGTCCTGAGGTCAGCCAAAGTCTTCCCTGACTACAGGAGTGGAAGCCTTCCTGAACTCCAAGCCTTAGTAGGACTAGAGGTATCAGTGCTGTTTCTCAGCTTCAAGTCATAAGGTTACTTTAGGACTACAAATCCCAGAATTCCTCATGGGAACCCAAGAGAATTACAAATCTCAGCGAGTCTTAGCTTCTGAAAACAAATAACCACACTACGGTCTATGTGTCTGACCACCTACCCTGAAGGCCTGGGACCCATTCCAAACCCAGCTTTCAGTGTCACAAGTCCCTGCTTGGTTTAAGGCTCAGAGATACTCACGACTACAAAAATAAAATCAGCTGGCAGACCTTAAATGCATAGGACTAAGGCCATGTCCAAGTCTGCATTCCCATTAATGGACACCAAGGCACATGCAAGGGACAGCAGGTGTGGAAAGGTAGCCCTGACAGATGGCCTCCCTCTGGGGTAGGGTGATTTTGTTGTTGGGGAAGAAATTAAAGCAGTTGTGAGAAGTGATCAGGTGCTCATGCGTGCCCCAAATGAGGCCCCAGTCCCCTTCACCAACGAGCTGACTATGAAAAGGACAACAAGTTTTAAGAAAAAACTCTGTGGTTGGGTGTTGGCTAGTGTTTGCTACCTACCTCCTTAAGGTGACAGGGGAACACACAGCCAGAAGAGGTAGGTTTCCAGCAAGGTCCACTCCCAAGACTGGGAGGGAAGAGGTATTTGGGGGGAAGGTGTGGGTGTGCAAAGCCAGTCGCCAGGGGCCAGAAGGCCAGGCCATCAGGTTGAATAGCCCCTCCAAAGGCTGTGCGCCTCCTGCCACCCTCAGCGATGGGAATGCCAGCGGAAAGCGAGACCACGAGACTGCCCCGCAAAGCTTAGAAGCAGGCAGGCCACAGGAGCCGACCAGAGTAGGTCTAGCCCCCTCCCCGCTCATTCCCGCCGGACCCGCCTCCCGAGTGCAGGCTCCTCCCTCTCCCGACACCGACCCCCTCCTCAAGGTCCCCACCCATCTTCAGCCTGCGCACCCGAACAGGCAAAGCCCGGCTCCCCAACCCGTGCTCGGCCTCCGCCTCTTACCCTGACCTGCAGGGCTCCGAGAGCCGATACAGCCCATGGCCGGTTTTCCTGGCACGCTAGCCCGCGCTCATGGCCCGGGCCATTGCCTTGTTGAGGGTCAGGCCGTGGCCACCACCGGGGAGGGGAGGGGAGAGCCCGCGAAAAGGGAGGGGGGTGGGAGCCGCGCGTCCACCACCGCTCCCGGGAGAGGGGAACAGATCGATGACGTATGCGCGGGGGCGTGACCACTGGCGTCACCCACTAAGAGCAGGCGGGGCGAAGACGACGTCATGGCCACGCAGAGGCGGCCTAGGGCTGAAACCAGAGAAATAAACCGGTCCTTTCCTCCCAGGACTGCAGAGAAATCCTTAGGAGGAGAAAAATTCACTGGGCCTGGGTCACCCATTTACACATAAAACCTTTTTTTACTAGACTCATTTTACCAATGAGTGTATTTGTACAATCAGAATGATGAGCAACGGTCAGGGATTCAAATCCACCACCACTGATGGCTCACATTTTAGTTGAGAACTTGAAGCCATGGGTTTCTGCAGATAAGACAGCCTGATACCCAGGGCTTCAAGAGATCTGGATTACTCTTGTAGCTGGCAGGCAAGTGATCACAAAGAAATGGCTTCCTTTCCCCCTCCTAGCCTCCCAATCATGCCCACCCTATGGGCCCAACGCTCCAGGAAACCCCACTCTCCAGCCACCACCACCACCCCACCAACCCCATAGATTATGGACAAGGGAAGAGGCAGGAGGAGTGCCAGGCCACAGGGCATTGCTATAGTGCCAGCTCTGGACAGGAGACTGTCCACCTCTCCATACCTCTTTCTTCAGAGGGAGCGGCCATAAAGCAGAGGCAGTGAGCGTAATTGAATTCATGTTTAATAATTACAGGCACCGTGCCCCCCCCTTATCCCTGCCCAGGCAGCAGCAGGGGTGGTGCGGGGGCTGGGGCATATGCCCCCAGCAGCGAGGACGGCCGTCCCAAGAGTGATTTTCAGAAAATAAAAAAGGACCCCAGGGGCAGGCGATGGTGCCTCCCCCAAGACACACTAAATTTCAAGACTTTATATATAATATATCTCTGTGCCCCAGGGGGAGGAAGGGGCACCTGGCAGCATCCTGGAGGGGGGGCCCCCAGGTAGCCCCAAGCCATCCTGCCTCTTCAGCCACTTTATTAGCTCAGACACACCGCACTACAGGCACCCACTGCCGCCACCACTGCTGCCACCCCCTTTGCAGTCCAGGCAGCTGGCTGGGCCATCCTCGTGTCCATGGGGCTCCAAGTCCCCGGCCCCACCCGCCCTCAGTTGTGGTCGGACTCCTCAGCTTCAGCCTCAGCCTCACGAAGCCACTGGAAGAAGTTTGTGACAGATTTAAGGGCCACGCCTTTGCCCAGCTGCTCAGCAGGGTCCTTGCTACTCTCCCAGCTGTAGAAGGCGTCCTCTTTCACCACATCCTCGTCGTACAGAGTATCAAAGAACATCCTGAGCAGGTCTGCAAACAAGCAGGACATCAGTTAAGAGGCAAGCTGGCTACAACCATCCAAACCATCCCCAGGGGTTTATCTCAAAGAAATAGAGGCAAAAGTGCCACTGTTAAAACAAAGACTTCACCCACCAACTATTTATGGGTCTGACCATTCTTCCAGAGTGACTATATCTCAAACAGAATGCTAATCTCATGATCTAAGAAAAACGTGTGCAGAAATTAATCACTTGGCCACGGAATAAATCTTACAAACCCGCCTAGCCTCAGTTCTGCTATTTTAGCCTTCTCCACACTCATGACACTTAATAAGGAAAATGAAATGCAAACTAAGGCAGAACAATTACTGGTCTAACCCCATCCAGAGTATCAAAGATGCTGTGATGAAAATCAAAGATACATGAGAATAATTACTTCAGTGAACAAATAGACAATGCAAACATCAATCTCCATGACCCTGAGACCAGATGCTGCCCAGCTACCACTACCAACTGTTCTGAAAGGGATCACATCAGAGGTCCCGAATATTGAGAATAATGTGGTACAAAACACAAAATTTTAAAAAATACAAAAAATGTGGACTACAGTCCTTAGTCACCTTCTTAAGTGAACTCACCCCCCATGGCTCAGTTTTCAGTCAAATAGGTCTATTGGGGAATAGCACTATGGGAATATGAACACTTAAAACAATCAACCACTTGAGATAAAAAATAGACATTTACCCCAGAACAAAGTCCAGAAGGCAGGAAAGGTTAGGAAAAAAGAAGGCATGCACACAGGAAGTGGGATAAATGAAGTTTCACTGTGGTGATTGCAACCAACCAACAGATGGAAAAAATGTGCATGAATTGTTGAATGAAAAGCTAATTTGCTCTATAAATCGTCATCCAGTTCACAGGAAGTCTTAAAAAATAATAATATGCAGCATATAGGGAATCACAAAACTTCCAGATCACTCATTCACAAGGAACATTCACTGGCTCCCAAACTCTTTAAATTCTAATTTTCAGTACTTCCACTTCCCACACTCGTCCTGAATACATATATCCTTTTCTGGCCTTCAAGCTTTTATATGTGCTATGTCCTTTACCAGGACCATCCTTTGTCTTCTCACCTTCCTAATGAATTCAAAGCTCAACTCTTTGACTACCTGCTCTGCCCTTTCCTCTTCTACCTCCTGGCTTCTATGTAGCCTTCCCAGACATCTGTCCTGTATTCCCATGAACATAAGCCATTCCATTCACCATACTGCACTCTCCTGTCTTTCTGAAATAAATAGAACACAGATCTAAAGTTCAGAACCGGGTGAAATCTTAAGTCACCTATGAGAAGCCATAGCCACAGAGCAAACACACACAAGTTCACAGCCTCCCAAGCCCATCCCACAGCAAAGTCACGTATCTGAAACCTATGCTCCACTCCAGACCCAATGCCTCCCAACACCTTGGATTACACAATTACACACTTTGTCCTGTGTTTTCTAGCCCAAGTTTCTGCCATGTAAACACAAAAAAGCCCATCCCTTTCAACCACCATTTCTTATAGCCAAAGACAAGATTTTGTCTACATGTGTTTTCCCCAGTCTCAAGGATTCCATGATTTTTAAATCCATATTCTGCCTCATGCTCCACCAAATACTGTCTTTGCCAGGTGACCTGTTTCTATATTCCAGAGGCCCTTGACTTTCAGGTCTGTTCCTATGATACTCTCTAGCAACCAGCAGTCAGCTAAAATTAGCTAAAATGACTCGGTCCTTCATTTCCAGACCCCAAGTTCTCCTTTTGTGTGTAGCTCTGACTCCAGCATGATCTCAGGGTTCTCTCCCAGGCCCTCAACACTCTCCCTAAGGCAACTATCATGATGTGTACATTATCATGTGCCTGCAACTAGCCATCTACCTCCCTTCTCTTCAAATATCCAGCTGTAGTGGTGAGTCTATTTGACCCCCCAACCTCCCAGGGACCACAAAGCCACTACTATGATCAACTCATCTTGATCCAGTGTTCCCCACCCCAGTAAATGATGCCACCAGATCACTTCACTTGCTGAAACCATCCTGGGAGTCATCCTCAACTGACTTCTAATCTCACACTTGCCCTGCTTCCCCAGGCCATTGACACTAAAAGCTATCAATTCCGCTTCATCAACAGCTCTTCCATCTGCTCATTCCTCTCCCAGCCCTACTGCCAACAGGTCACTGCCAACATGTTGCTGGTGGGCTCTGCTGCCACACCACCTCAGCCCGTTTCGGACCAGTAATAGCCAAAATAACCATAAAACAAAACATCAAGTTTTTTATTCCCTGCTTAAAATCCCACAAAGGCCTTTCATTACCTACCGGATAAAGTCGAGGCTTCCTATGGCTCACATGGCCCTGCATGACCTGACCTGCCTCTCTCTCTCTCATCACATCCTGCCTCACTTTTGACTGTTGTCCCCTCTCACACTGGCCTTCCTTGATTGAATGTTTTTTTCCATCTCCTCCTCCCACCACATGACTTAGTAATTCCTGATGACCTTCCCTCAGAATAGGTGCTACTTCCCCACAGAGAGCACCTGGGCAGGGCTTATCTTCCAACCTTCATCAAACTTGTTATGGACTCAACGGCAGTCTTTGCCAGGTGAGTACAAGAATTATGCTTGGCTTTGTCACTAACATCCCAGTGCCTGACACACATGTATTTACTTAATGAATTAACAGATAAGTTTGCCTAAACTTCAATCTTCTAATATGGAATATGGGGATATCATCTACCCTAACAATAACTGGGAGAATTAAATCAGAAACCAAGGTAAGCACAGTATCTCAGCTCTGTGACAGATGGAGGGGCACGAAATACCTAGGAAATGGTTTTAACTTATCATCTCTGCACTCTTGACATCTAGTCAATTAAACTTCTCAGGTAGGTAAGGAAACAAAGGTAGGGATAGGAGAGAATCAAACCCTAGGGGCATTTTGCTCTCTGAAGACTGGCTTTCTAGGGAAGGTCACATCACCATCACGCCTGCTGTCTAGCAGCCCCTCCTCCCTAGGGCCTGGCTCTTACTGGCAGGCTGCTCTAAGGTCATCATAAGGGACTGGAGGGCGTAGAGTGCCTGCAGCTCCTTCTGCTCATCACACAGGTACTTCTGGAGCAGTTTCGCTCGTGCTTTCAGCACTGCAACATCCACTCGGAAGGGAGTCTCAACTATAGGAAAAAAAAGGGAAGACTGTTCCCTTAGCCCAGAACTAGGAAGCAAAGACAAATCACTCCCCCACCCCATCCATTTGTCTTGCCCCCAGCCACCTCAGCTTTTCTTACAGATAATTGCAGAATAGCAGACAGTTGTCATGAGGGCTCGAACTAGAATGTTGGATGCTAGCTGCTGCTCACTCAGGTTGGCCTGTGCGGAAGGGGAAACAAACGGTGCGTGAGTTCTTAATTGTGACCTTGAGTACCTATTCTTGCTATCCAACCCACTCCTCCCATGCCATGTTGTTATTGCTAGCTGACTTCAAGTTAATTCTGACTCATGGTGACCTCATGTGTGTGCAGAGTAGAGCTGTCCTTCATAGGGGTTTCAAGGCTCTGACCTTTGAAAGCGTATCACTAGGCCTGTCTCCCAAGGCACCTCTGGGCAAGTCAGAACTACCTTTGAGCTAGTAGTTGAGTGTGTTGAACTGCCTGTGCCACCCAGGGTCTTCTCCACCGCTCCCCCCCACCCCCATACACCAAAAGCCCCGTTCTCATCCCACTCCCCTTATAACCAGGACAAACATACCTCTATCCACTCACACACCCGCTCATTATTGCTCCCTTCCTTTAGCAGTTTCTCCAGCTGCCTGCTCAGCTCCTCTGAGGGGATAGACCTCTGGCCAGGGGCTTCTGACTCCTCTCCCAGAGTATACTCCACCTTCTGCAACCAAAAACACCCAACTGAGAGTCAAGGTGCATCATGTGAGGGAGGATAAAGGAAGGGAAAGAAGAATGCCCAGCCCAAAATGCTAGAATTAATTCAAGTTCCACACCTGTTTAGTGACGAATGCACCAATGTCCTGACCTTCAGGAAGAAATTCCTTCCAGCTGAGCCCAGCCTCTTGCCACAGTGTCCCCACCTTTTTGGATCCCTGGAAAACACAAAACCTGCTCAACAGCCCTTTCTTTCTCTTCAAGAACCTACCAGCTCCATATCATTCATCCAACAAATAGTTACAGAAAATCCACTGTCTGGTAGGGGCTATAAAGATGCTGTCCTGTCCCTCCATGTCTATAGCCTTGTGCAGGGACCAGACATCAGTCAAACAGCCACCCAAACAAACAAGAATGCACCCACCACAGTATTTTAAGACTATAAGTACCAGCTGCATCTAGTTTCTGACTCAAGGCAACCCTTACGTGTCAGAATACAACTGTACTCTATAGAATTTTCAATGACTGATTTTTCAGAAGTAGCTTGCCAGGCCTTTCTTCTGAGGAGTCTCTGAGAGGACTCAAATCACCAACACCAACCTTTTGGCTAGTATGGAGACTAGTTAAGATTTGCCCCACCCAGCAAACTCCTGCTGTTTTAAGTCTTGGGTGAGGGGGAAAGCCCTCTAGGCAAGGCACCAATTTGCTTTCACAATATTCCCTAAGAATTGCTGGATCTCAGAAAGGTAAACAACCACATCCTAAAACCTCATCCTAATCTCTCCTATACCCCCAGCCCTTAAAACAGCTTGGCTTTTCATCACTCCATGGAATAGGATGGCTTCCAACAAGACTGCTTATTTGGTTCCTGATTTCTGAAAATTTTAGAAGCAGGTCACAAATACTCAAAAAAAGTCATTCGAGCTTTAAGAAGCAAGAGACCTTAACATCTTACACTTGCCAGTCACCATTAACTTTCACAAAGCTGCTTTACTTCACCAAACAGATAGGCTTTTGCAAGCCTAGGGTACTCAGACACCCTACTATATTTCAGTTTTTTATGGTGTCACTTTACTGTTTTGAAGTTTATTGGGAATAATGACATCAGATAACTCAGCTCATAACTTTTTGTAAGACACCCAGTTTTTCACATTGTGTTAAATGTTGTCAAGTTCATGATTCTGTAGAGAGAGCTTCCAGGGTTTCCGAGACTATAAATCTTTAGAAAGTCTCATCTTTCTCCCACAAAGCAGCTGATAGACTCAAACTACTGACCTTGCAGTTAGCAGCTGATTTCATACCCCACTATGTTACCAGTGCTCCTTTATAATCTATAGTACCTTTTATATCAATGAAACATGTAATTTTTTATTGCTTTTTCTAAACCAAACATCACCGTGGTACTTACTTCTAACCCAAAATGTTAAAGTTATTATGTTGTACAAAGAACAACTCCTCCAAATTCAAAGCCTCAATTTTCTGTACTACACCCAATCTGCCTTTCCCCATCGTTATGCTTTTACACTTGCTAATCACCAATAACTTTCACAAAGCAGCAACCTTCCACAAAAGCCTCATCTTCACCATCACCTAACAGGTAAGTCTTTGCAACCTCACAGTACTGTTACTTCACTTCATACTATTTTTATTAAACTATCATTTCTTCTTTCTCTGCCAACTAGGTTCCTAATTGATTTATTCACCACTGTGCTCTCAGCGCCTAATATATAAACATGATAGTCAAAAAATGCATGCATGACTAAATGAATCACAGCCAACCAATCATGGGTCAGAATCTTTGATTCCCCTCCAGCCTCGACCAGAACTGAAGATACAAAACCCATCTGAGGGGGACTGCCAACTTGGACATTTCCTCTCCCAAGTACCATTACCCCTACCCAAACAAAGGACCATGAGGCCTCAGGATCACACAAGCAGTTCAAACCTCAGTGGAACCAGAGTCCCCATCATGGTGCCCTGTGACAGGCCCACACTCACCATGCTTTTGCACAGGAGCCCCAGGATCTCCAAGAGCAGAGAAGCAGCCTTGCCCAGGGGTCTCAGAGGTCTTGTAATCTCCCTATAAGAGAAAAAAACTCCCAAGTATTGAGAGTTTACAAACCCTGTTACCACTACCCCTACCCCTTCTCCCTCTTTAATCCCAGGTATCCGATCTTCCACACCTCACTGCCTTCTCCTCTCCTTCTAGTATCTTTAGAACAAAACGAAAACCAAACCCAATGCCGTCAAGTCAAAACTGACTCAGAGACACCACAGGACAGGGTAGAACTGCCCAGTAGGTTTTCCAAGGCTGTTACCTTTACAGAAGCAGACTGCCACATCTTTCTTCTGTGGAGCAGCTGGTGTGTTCGAACTGCTGACCTTTTGGTTAGCAGTGAAGAACGTAACCATGGTGCCACCAGGGCTCCTTCTCCTGTCTTCACCTACCGTGAATTCCATCAAGGGGGCTTACCTGAACAACTCCCCCATGGGCACCCCACCTTCCTGCAGAATGGGTGTTACCAGTTCCGCCAGGTAGAGCCACACGTGGGGGATGTCAATTTCCATGTCCTCAGCTAATTCCAAGATTTCATGTAGCCTACAGTGAGAAATCAGAGTCAAGGTATTCTAGAGAAGATGCCATAGCCACCTTTCTGGATAACTTAGCATGGCTAAAGAAAGGATCAACTGTGGAGTGCTGCAGGAACATTTTCTATCTCTCATCCTCAGGTGGTTCACATCTCCCACCCCCACGAAAAGGAATGCTGACCAGAACAGTTGAGGCAACTAAACTTTTTACCCAAGGTCACTACAAGGGACTGGAGGGTGTAGAGCACCTGCAGAGGTTGCGACAAAGCAGGAGAGGTGAAATCTGTGGGTATGCCAAAATGGGCTGGCCTACCCTTGGTAGTACTGAGCAGTGGAGAGGTGCCCAGCACAGAGCAGTTGGTGCAGCAGCTGCCCCATGTGCTCACGAGCAACGGTGCTGCGCTCCAGCGTGGACTCGATGCCATGCCGCACAAAGATGAAGAGGAGTAAGGGGGATGCCAGCTCTTGCACACATTGTACTGCCTCCTACAGTGGGAGCAGGATCAAACATAGGAAGAGGGTCACGGTCTGACCCAGACTCCATACCCCATGATGTCAGCCCACTTCTCCTCAATCATTCAGAACCCCCCACCCCTACCTACCTTCATGTCATTGAGATGGAGGTATTCCTCAATGATTGCCTTAGATTTCTTCTCCATCTCTTCCTCAGAGAGTGCGGCCTTTGTGGGGCTTACTGGGGGCAAGGTGGCTTCTCGCTTCACTATGGAAGAACATAAAACAGAACCTCTGCAATTCTAGTCTTCATAGCAAACAAAGTCCAGAACTCTCAAAACTGTCTGGGGACCAACTCCTCCCCAACCAGCCAAACATTCCTCTCCCAGGCCCTCACCGGCATCCCGCCCACGGTCTCGATCCTCTGTGAGGCTAGCTGCCTTGCGCAGTCCCTCAGGCTGGGTGGGCCGCTCTCTACTCCGCTCCTCCACTTCCTTGCTGAAGCTCCGCTTCGTGGCAGGAGCACGTGCACGATCAAGTCGGTCCCCACGGTCACCTCCCCGTTCACTCCGCTCTAGGCGGTCTCCCCGGTCCCCAGCTTTCTCGCCTCGTTCTCGACTCAAGCTACTCCTAGAAGAAAGACAGGCACATTGTCCCCCATCATCAGCACTGCCCAGGTTCTCACTCATGCTATCACTCCACATGCAGAACAACTGCTGAAACCTGTTCTTGGCATTAAGACCATCCCCTAAGCCCTATGAAAACCAGAGCACTGAGGAAACCTCACCTCTGTACCACACGTCTGTTATCTGTGCTTTCTGTGGGTACTGCTTGTTGGAGGGCTGAGTAGCGATTCAAGGTACTAGTAGCTGGACGAGAAACTTCTGATGCTAGAGAGGCAGAGACACTAGATTAAACTCTATTTCTACTTTCTTGCACCCTATCTCTTACTCTGGAGTCCTGGTGTGGTGCCTAGGCTAAGCACTGTACTGCTAACAAGGTTGGAGGTTCAAACCCACCAGCTGCACCTTGGAAATCCTTTACAGGGTCACTATGAGTCAGAACTGACTCGACAGCATTTAACATTTACTTCCCAATTTAGGATACTTGGTTCCAACCCCTAATGAAAGCAGCTCAGCACCCCCAGTCCCAAGTACATTACAGAACCACCTTATATTGAAAGTCTCCCTTGCAAACAAGGCTGAGACCTCAAGATGACTCACATTAATAACCCCCTCCCCTCCTTCTTTATAGTGGCCTCCATACCTCCATCTGAGGGCTTGGCTCCTGACCCTCCACTGCTGCCCTTGCCCCAGCTCAGTCGCCCTCCAGGTGCAAAGAGCTGGTTATTAGAATCAATGGAGCCAGGCTGAGCAAAAGTAAAGAGAGTAGTCAGGATCTGACCTGGTCCAAGCCCCATCACATACTGTGAAATGGCCTCAAGCAGAGATCAACTAACTTTTCCCAAGAATCAAGACAGTAAACATTTGCAGACCAATCTCTTTTGCACTACTCAACTCTGCCATATTGTAGCATGAAAGCAGTTATCAATGACACTTAGGAAATGGAGGGGCTAACATTCAAATGAGTGATCAATGCTTGACCCTACCACGCACTCCAGGCCCATACACCATCCTTACCTTCGTGATCTTGGTGATTCGTGAGGTGTCAATAGGGCGACTACCCTTGCTGATAGGGACTGTGTTCCAGCCACCATCATCCACAAGTGGAAGTCCACGACCTGGGACAAAAAGGACATACTGGGATAAGGAGCACATCTCAACCCTTCCTGAGTTAACACCACCCCTCCCCCTTCCTCAGATCCTCAGTTCCATCATGGGGTCTCAGTGGCCCAGACACGTGGCACTAACAGGAAGTCATCAGTGGAAAGCACAACTTTCAGTTCCTTGTTCCCCTCTCAACCTCAGCCTCAAACTCACTGATGGGCGGGCCTGGGGGACCACCTCGACGCTTGTCATTGCCCTTAGCCATGAGCTGCTGCACTTTGATATGCTCCCGATGTTCCTCCATCTCGGCCTCCTTATGAATCTGATCAATGGTCTTGGGACCCTGGTCCCCTCGGCGTGGCACCCAATTGCTCTGTGGAGACAAGTCAGTTGAGTCGCAGGACAATCACCTTAGGGAGAGCCTGAAAAGGAAGTGCTAGGAACAGGGAACTGTGGAGTCAGAGGTTCAAGAGCAGGAGTGGAAAAAGGATGAATACCCGTCGCAGATCCAGCACATCCTGTAGCATAAAGCGAATGCGGGATGATGTCTTCTTTTCCTTAATGATTTTTTCCATCTGGTTGAAATACTGATCCATTCGAGGCTGAAGCAAAGCAAAGAGCACTCTTAATACCTCAAATCCAACTGCAGACTCTCACCTCCATCACTGTGGTTCAAGGGTCCAACAAGGAGAGTAGCAGTGGCTTGGACCAGGTCAGATCCTGACTACTCTCTTTGCCTTTTGCTCAGCCTGGCTCCATTGATCCTTACAGACTTCAACCCATCTTCCTCCAACATGCAAGGTCTCCTAGTATCCAGGAAACCTACCTTGGCTTTCTCAAAGTCCAGGTCTTTTCCAATAGTGGTGAGCAGACGGCAAAGGCATTCAAGGGATTCTTCATCATGGTTCTTAAGTAGTTTGACTACACAGTCATGCATTATCGCCTCTGTTAACATCTTCAGCTTAAACAACTCCCCAATAAACTTGATATTCCCAAGAGAGCGCCGCCGGGCTATGTCTCGAGCCTCTTCCAGCTCTTCCTTCAGACGCCCCCGTTCTTCTGCCTACCAGTCACACAAAGACAGGGAATCATGTCAGGAAAGTACTCAGCCACACCATAAACCCTTCTCCTCTGCTTTCTGGAAGCACACATGTCCTGAGGCAGAGACACACCCCTGCCCACTACAACAGTATTAATATCCCACTTATGCCCACCCCAGACCCTACAGCTGAGTAGCCTCTAGATGTCCAGGTGGAGGATGTGGCAAACGGGTAGAATGGGTAGTGGTCTTCTCTCACCGTAGCAGCTTCATCCATTTCCTTTTGCTTCTTTTCAAAAACTTCATCATCATCTTTGTCTTTCTCAAACTCCTTTTGACACCGATTCAACAACAGTTTTCGGAAATTCACAGTCACTGTTGGCTTTTCTGTAGTGGGCACTTTCAGCTATAAGTCAGAAAACACCATACTCAAGACTAAGCCAGAGCAATAAGGGTCCTCTTACAACAACACTTGGTGCCATTAAGTAGATTCTGGCTCACGGTAACCCTATATGTTTCAGAGTAACACTACTCAGTAATTTTTATGGAAGCAGATGACTAGGCTTTTTCCACAGAGCTGCTAGATGGACTCAGATTGTCTACACTTAAAATTACTAGTTAAGCACCTAAAGGCCCTCTAGGAGACTTTTAACTGCCTGACCCAGGAAGACCCTCTGGCCCTAGCTCTGCCCCCTCCTAACTACTGTCAACAGCAAGAGAATCAAGACGCTTGACTCAAAGGAATCTTTGGAAACAGGAGTGGGAGGCTACACCATAAAATGTGAAACAGCGGGTTTAAGAACAGTGAAAACTAACCGCCATGAGGCAGCGGCACATGTTGGCATAGGCCACAGAGAAGTTGGGCTCTGAAATGGCCTTCTCGAAGATGAGGTCGATGACGCCTTTGAGGCGTTCCTCAGTGTCGATGGCCAGTTGCGTCACCTGCTTCATCAGCTGCTGGAACATCTGGGGTGTCAGCTTATTCAAGATGGAGCGCACCCTGCGGAACAGGTCCTGGGAAAGCAGGGGGACAACAGAGAAGAAAAACAAGACCCAATGAGGTTCTCAGAACAGAGGTCACTGTAGGGACAAGAAAGGGTGGGAACTTCGGTACATGCTGGTGGTTAAGTAAGGACAAAATCAAAGAGCAAAAGTGCCTCAGAGGACAGAGAAGGAATGGGCACAAAAAGCAAGACTTGGCCAGTACCTGGGTTTTGCTTCCATCCGCATCCTCTTCCCCCCGGTCTTTATCAGCTGCCGTCCGCTTGCTGCTGGGTTTCCAGGCCTTCTCCGCTTTATTCAGTTTTATATCTTCAGACATTAACACTGTGGCAATGATCTTACGTGGTTCCTTTCGGGGGCCCTGCTGAGAGCGCCGGGGTCCCAGACTAGCCTGCTAATACGGGAAAACAAGAGAAAACACAGAAGTAGTCAGTACGACACTAAGCCTGCCACAACTCTAGGACTTAATCAATCCTCAAATCTCCCAACATCTCAAATCTCCCTATTTAAGACACAGGGAGCCATTCACCACACCCCACTCCCATCAGCCTCTAGGCATTTCCACTCACCGGTCCTCGGGGCAGCTCCCCACCTGGCCCACCCCTTGGGGGCCCACGGGTGCTAAGAGCTGGTCGGCCAAGGTTGGCAAAGGATGGAGTGAAGTCTGGGCCACAGTTTATGCCTTGTAGTCTAGTGGGATCCAGTGGCCGCAGTGGTGTCTTATTGGCCTGCAAAGGAAACAAGGATGGTATGAGAGACTAGGGCTGCTAACCACTCCTTCAGAATTTCATGAAGTCCCAACTTCCACTCCCCACTTTAAGCCCACCAACCTTGTCTAACACCACATCACTGATATGGGGCAAGCCCTCTGGCTTCTGCAAACTGGCAAAGATGAACTGAAAGCCAAGCAGGAATTCTCGGTCATAACGTTTTTTCTCTTCAAGGTTTAGAGGCTTCCACTGATCTGCAAGGAAGAGAGAACAAGGCAATCATACCTGTCTCCTGAGGTCCTAACAATACTACTCAGCAACTCTCAGTCCCTCCTTATACATACCTGACTTATATTCATACTTCTGTTCCCCAGGCTGGATGTTCTCAGCATTGTGAATTGTGTCTTCCTTTGAGTCCCAAGTCTCATCTGTTTCCTCAGGCCGTGGGGGCACACTGCTGCCCTCAGTCTCTGGGCCTGGATTATTGACTACAGGAGGCTGATTTTCAACCTCTGGTATTCCTGGGTTCACCTGAAACCATAGAGCATCCAGGTTTAGTTGCAAAACGACCACTTTCCATACCCAAACTCTACCCTCTCCCCCTCCACGATTTTCTGTTCCCTTACCTCCTTGAAGGCATCTAGAAGGTCTCCCACAGCTTCCTTCTTATTTAGCTCCTTAATTTTCCTTCTCTTCTTTGGCACAGACACTGCCACTTTTTAGAAGTTTAAAAAAAAAGGAAGGCAAAGGTAGAAAGAATCTAATGAGTACTCTTAACCCCCAGGAAAAATGAAGAGCAGTCACAGTACAGTATCTCCATGTCCATCACACCCTCTCTAGGCTGACAATTCCTTAATTAGCTCTTTGGTTCCATCACAGGGCTTCTATGACCCAGACACAAGATGGCACAAATGGTAGGTCATCAATGGAGAGGAGCCACACCCTCCCCTCTCCTCCCCTTCACCATTCCACCACACCTTACCTTGGGTGGCTGCTGCTGCTGCTGCCGCCTCCAAATTCTGGGACAAGTGGCTTGGGGCAGAGGTACTCTCTTGGGGGCGCAGTTCCTCTCCTCCCTTCTCGCCATCAACTTCTCCTTCCTCCTCCTCCTCCTCTTCTTCCATCTCCTCCTCCTGGACAGGGGAAGCAGCTGAAGACGCCATGGCTAGAGGGGCAGTGAGGGCGGTGGGGGGAGTCGCTGGTGCAATAGCCTCCTGGACCTCCTCCTTTGGCTCACTGACTGGGCTTATGTCCACAGCTGGTGGTGAGGGGGCTCCATTGAGCAGTTCCTCAGGTTGGGCAGTTGGAGCAATGGGCACAGGGGATTCAGAAGGGCAAGCCGGAGATGAGAGAGCAGCACGCTCTGGGCTCAGCTCCGTTTCTGGTTCTGGATCCTCAGATGGAAGCACGCCATTTGGCTCATGAAGAGATGTGAGGTGGGGGAGAACCTGTAGAGAGCTGGAAGGGAACTCAGATGCTGGAACTTGCTTGCTAAGTGTCATTTCTACCTCCAGTATGGGTTCAGAAAGGGTAGTGGGTTCCGGTGAGACACAATATGGCTCCCCAGTTTCACGGGGTATGGGGGTTGATTCTTCTACAGACATCTGTATCATCCCCGTTGTCATAGTGTCTCCAGGAATAGAGAGGACTTCAAGATTAGGCTCAGACCCTGGTTCCAAGATTGGAGGTGGTGACGGGGTTGGAGACGGTGATGAAGGCTGGGATTCTGAAGGGCTGTGCTCTGGGCCAGGGAGTCCTGGCCGACCCCCAATGATTGCTCCCTGTGACCTGTCATCTGTACCACAGGCAGGAAGATAAAGGAATTAAAGGTTAAGTCCTTCTTTTCACACACACCCCTTAATCTTATCCCACCCAACCTATTTCCCCTTCTCATGCCAAATTCTCACTACCTGAAACCTAAGTCATTCTTCTCTGGCACCCAGTTCAAATCATGCCCCTCTCTAGCATTCTGCCACACTCCTTGTTCCCCATAAAAGCTGTCCCACTTACTTACCTGGGCGGACAATGACAGCAACCTGGTGTGTCTCCCCATTAGCTTGAGGCTCCAGACCACCTCCCGTCTGCAAGACAGAAAGGGTTACCAAGTATATACCCTGAAGAATCTCCAGAGCCTTTCCTAGAGCTATCTCTACTTTAGCTCTGCCTGGAAATGCAAGAAAGCAGGGACATAAAGCCCTTAGTAAAAGAAAAGAATCAAGGACTTGGTTGCCAGGGCAGAACAGCCATCCAAGCCAGGGCCATCACTTTAAGAGTAGGCAATACCTGGGGAGGGGTGGGAGTAGAGGCAGTGCGGGCCCCAGACATGATCTCCTCTGTGATATCCTTCCCTCCTTGATTTGGATCTCGAATTCGGATCTGAGGAAAGAAAGCTACAACATGAGTAGGGAGCCCATGTCTCTATACCCTGCCCTCACTAAGACTCCAAGCCACCTCCCCACCCCCCACTAAAAAGCAGGCAGGTGGGTGCTAGCACACCCATGAGTTCTACTGTCAAGCCATCTGGCTGCTCTTGTAGTCCCTGCCCTGGCCCCCACCCTAGGACACCCTTGACCTCATAGAGCTGCCATACATCACAATGCCCCTCCCTCCCTCACCCCTGCCCCACCAGCAGTCCCCAAGTCACTAACTGCACTTGATAAGGCCCAAGACCCCCATCTAACACCCATCCGGGCTCACTTGTGGCTAGTCTGCCTGATCTCTGGGGGCAGGGCCCAGATCCAGTGGGTGGAGCAAGGGTGACTCAGCGGCTTCCCCAGCCCTGGCACCCTATTCTGGGCACCACGCCCAAGGCTTGAGGACTAGGCAGAGGCGGAGGCCTCAAGAGCTTCCAGGACTGAGGGGGAAAGGTGGAGGGAGAAGGCAGGGGGGTGGAACCACAGAAAACAAACGATTTCCAAAGGCAAGTCACCAGAAACTTAAAACCAAGCAGAGTTCTTGTGGACCCCCAGAGCCCAGGTCTCAGGAATTCCCCAGAAGTCACTTGTCTTCCCATGAGCTTCCACACTGAAATCTGAGTGCTCTACAAAGAACCCAGGCACTCCACAGAACCCCCCCACTCTCTGACCATTTACCCTGAAGATCTTCAAGTTCCTGATCCCTACCCACAGTATTCTGGAACTCCTGACCTTGGTTTCTCCCCTTCCCAGATGTCCCAGAGTCCCTTGCTGCTATACTCACCGTCTTACGTTCTCTCTTGGGTGCAATTGGGGGTGGCTGGTTCATCAAAACTGGGGTGGGGCCCACACCAGCGGGAAACTGCTGCACGCCTTGGGCTGGGTAGTAGGCGCCAGCTTGAGGGGGAAGGGGGAGATGGACAGGAAGAATGGTGGCAGCGTCAGGGCCCAACCATATACAAATGCCTGCTTCAACCCCTCCCACCCCTAGAACCTCTCATCACACACAGGCGGCCCCTTGCCCTGCCCCGCCCTCCTCCCCCAGGGAATTAGGTGTCTATCAAAGCTGGGGAACCAGTCTGAGCTGCATTTACAAGAATTCCTGACACACACGCCTTGTAGGCGGGCAGTCCTTCCCCACTATACACCAGTTACCCAGAAACCTAAAATCTGTTTCTCTTCTGTATACTAAGACCCTCTGTGTATAGACCACCCCCACCCCCAATGTGAAGGCATTGCTTAACGACTGCTTAATCTGAAACAGCATCAGGTCTTTGGCTACAAATGAACACAAACCAAACTGTCAACCCTACTCCACTCAACTTGACTCCAGTTCTAGTCTCCAGACCTTAGCTAATGGTCAAGAAGATAAAACATAACATTATGAACTGGTCCCAGGATGAAGAAAATATCCTTAACATAATATTGTCTATGGTCTCCAAAGTAGGATATGTTGTTGTTAAGTGCCGTCGAGTCAGTGGTTCCGACCCATAGCGACCCTGAACAGGGTTTCCGAGGCTGTAAATCTTTACGGGAGCAGAGAGCCTCATCTTTCTCCCGCGGAGCAGCTGGTAGTTTCGAACTGTCGACCTTGTGGATAGCAGCCTGATTTGTAACCACTACGCTACCAGAGCTCCTTAAAGTAGGATATGTATTTTTAATATCATCCCTAATTTCCCTGCTTATTTCCACAAATGACAAGTGTGTTATTTGAGTTACGCACACGTATAAACAAGCAAAAAGATACATGTATCAGAGGTACATGCTGAATTTTTTTCCTAACAATTTCCTGATCAAGTAAATTTGGAAACCACTGCCATAAAGGACAGACTAATCCTTTCCTAGACTATAAATAAAAAATAAATACAAAGACCCCCAAATCCCTGTAGACAGGTTCCCCCAAACCATGGAAGGAGTATCAGGGAATGCTTACTGACTGACAGGCCTTCAAGCTGGCACCTGATCCTTATAGTCCCTGTCCTGGAGAGGACTCCAACTTGCTTGGCAATAAGATCAAATCTCCCCTGACTAACGCCAGTTAAAATTTAAGCACCAATCCCTACCACCTATTAACCCTATCATTTGTATGCCCACAGCCACACCTGCCTGGGAAGGGTCTCTGTCTAGAAGTCAGATCAGGTGAGATGCTGCGATGCATTGTCATTTGAATCCCTTCCCTTCTTACCGTAGGTCCCAAACTCTGTAGGGCTTGCACCTGGATAGAAGCTGGGGGCTCCTGGCTGCACGGGGTACTGCTGTGGTGGGACAACATATGTGGAACGCCCCTGGTAGGAAAGAGGGAGAGGAGAGAAAAGGGGTTGAGGGGACTATAAGCACCACATTGACTACAGAGAGAATGTAACAGAGGACAAGAAAGGACAAGTTAATGGACAATGACCAAAGGAAGATCGACCTCGAGAGAGAGAGGGGACTGGAAGGTCAGGGTAGGAGAATGGGGGTAAGGACAAGGTCCTGTGGCTTCCAACTCCCAAGCCTCCAGTCTCACCTGTCCAGGGATGTAGTAGGCCCCCTGGGAGGGTGGGTAGGAGATCTGGGAAGGGATCATCATTACTTGGGATCCAGCAGGGTAGACATGGGCAGCTGGGCCAGGGCGGGCGGGGGCTGCACTCTGCACTCGGGAGGTTGCACTGCTCGGGGGCTGGGCCCGGCTAGGATAGAAGTGCTGTCAGGAAGGAGGAAAGGCAGTTGGCATAGGGAAGGGGAGGATGAGGACAGCAAATGGCCATTCCACAATGTCTCTCGATAGTCGGGAGAGAAGTACTAAGGATATAGGAGCACAGATATCAAACTCTCCAAGACCCACTTGATGGTTAAGTGGCCTCTTATACTCACACATGCCCTTACATATCCAGATACACAGTTTGCATTCTATGTGTTTACTCTCTCGCTGCCATGCACACTCATGTAACCTCCACCGATTAGCCCTCAGCAAAAGCCCAGATGCATCTTGCTGAAGGAAGGCCCTTTCAGGCAAATACTCCCCAGCATGCACCTCTGAACCCTAAGGTACTCAGGAGTTAACCTCTAACATGCAATAGTCTCTAGATATGCACATACTCAGCGAAACTTAGCCACTAACATGCACAGGTCAGTCTTCAACTGACAACCTGGACCATAACCAAGTTCCCATTATAAAGAGCCCCAGTCCCTGTATCTAGCCCATAACTCAGGTGGAAGGTAGGAATGAGGCCAGGAGAACATCCAGGAGTAGGAAAGGAGTATTACCTGCAGAGACCTGAATCCTCCCTGAGAGCACATGGGGACAGGAAAGAAGAGAATTATCCCCAAGGTGATGAGAAGGAAAAAATATGAAAGAAGTAGGCCAAGAATCTTCCCACTTAGGAAGAACTTGGGGAAGAGAGAAAGGAAAGGACCAGCTGGAGCGTCTCTACTCCAAGGAGAAAGCAGGGAAGGGGAATGGCAATCTCCCAGTAAAGGGAGGAAACAAGAAAATTTGCACCAAGGTCCAAAGCACTGCCTCCAGTTTTAAGGGGCTCCAGGTCCCCACCCCACCCCAACCAACTACATACTACCCAAGGGACCAACCATAATCAACAGCGCAAAGTACAGAGCTGCACGAAAAAACATAGAGCAACTGTCAGGAAATTCGGCCCAGGTACAGAGCCTCCAGAGTTTTCATCCTAGACCCAAACTGGCCTAAGGTTTCCACAACTCCCTCCCAGGTCCCCTATTCCCCTCCCCGCAGCCCCTCACCTGGCGGGGCTGAGAAGGCGTGTTCATTTGTGTCGCTTGTGGCGTACTGAACACCACCGGTGCTGTCTGCCCCGGGGGAAACGCTGGCTGAAGGGGGGGGGGGGGGGAAGACCAGAGTTCAGCAAGGGAGGAAATCCAGGTGGGACAGAAACCCAAGATGGTGAAATAAGGGGGAGTAGCTCTGTGGCCAAAAGCCTTAACGGTCCACATACCCCCTTTCCATGACAGCTCAGGGGCCCTGTCTCAATTTGGCAGCAAGCAGCTGCACTTTGCCCTGACACAGATGGGGGTGGGAAAATCCAGAAGTTGGAACCTGTTCCTGATCAGCTACCTGGTCTCTCCCCCACCCATCCCAACCCCCCACCACCACCAGAAAAAATCCACAAAACACAAAACTCACTGCCAGCAAATGGATTCCAACTCATAACAACCCTGTAAGACAGGGTAGAACTGCACTCACAGAGTTTCCAAGATTGTAAATCTTTACAGAAGCTGAATGCTACATCTTTCTCCAAGGAGGAGTGGTTGGTGTGTTTCAAAGGCTGGCCTTTCGGTTAGCAGCTAAGCACTTTAACCACTGAACCACAAGAGTGCCTACCCCACCCCAGTCCTTGCTAATTCCTCAGTTTCCCTCCCTAATTACCTGTGGGAGTCCAGGGGACGGGGCTGGCGGGGGGCCTGTGGGCTGTGGAGCTTTGTTCATTTCATTTGGTGCCACATCAGGGTCCCCCCAACACCTGTTGGGAAACAGTGGAGCTTGGAAAGAGGAAGGGGCCCAAGCTTAAGACAAGCAGAGCGGGTGGAGGGTTGAAGCAAGGGCTGGGTCCAAATCAGAACCGCAGAGGCGCCAAGGGGGTGAAGGAGCATAAACGAGCCAGCCTGTGTTCCCACCAACATGTTAAGTCCGCATCACCTGCATCCACCCCCCTGACCTGAAGAAACAGCCCCTCTCACTCACCCCCTCGATTAAGAATAAGTCCACGGTGCGGCCTACAGGTTCTGGGCATCCGAGGGCCTGGGGTTGGGAGGTGAGGGGTATCAACCTGGCTCCGCGGGGCCCAAGACCAACCAGACCGGAAATTCCAGGTCTCGCTGGCACCAGGCTCCCGGATCACAAATGGAGCTAGCTGCTTCGGCCGTGGCGTCCCCACCCCCCACCCGGGGACACCGGGTTCGGGGCCTGACCCGGGGGCACACAAGATACGCCTGCCGCGGGGTGGCCGCGGGGGCACCCTTGCGGGGCCGAAGGCGATGCCTGCCGCCGCCCGAGACTGGAGGCCAGGAAAGGTGGGGATAGGGCCCTAAAAGGCCTGGCAGGCGGCGGCCGAAGAGCCGGTTTCAAGCAAGTGAGGGTCGGCCTGGAGGGCGGGCGGGGCCGGGGGCTCCTCCCTGCCCGCCGCCGCCGCCCTCCCCTGAGCCCTCCCTGCGCAGCGCCGTCCAGTGCCAAAGAACAACGTGTCACTTCCCGGCGGCCTGGCCGCGACGGGGGGAGGGGGCGGCGGGCCGGGAAACCGTGGTGCCTGCGCCCGAGGGCCGTGGGGCCTCCTCGGGTCGGGCCGAGATGGCACTTCCCGGCCGGCGAGCCCGGTGCCCTCCCAGCCCGCGGGGTCCGCATATTCCGGTCCGCACCCCCACCCAGCAGCCTGGCCAGGCCGGGCCGGGCACACGTGGGCCGGGGATCGGGCCCTGGCGGGCCGGGGCCCGAGCTCGGGTAGTGGGGCCAGGACGCCGGGGCGGCGGCGCAGGGTGGCCGGTCCCGGCTCGGATGGCGGCGGATGCGGGGGGAGGGGGGCCGGGGGGGGGGGGTGAAGGAAGTAGACTGTTATAAAACAGGTTGATGGGTTCAGACCACAGTGGGGGGGCCGGGTCGGGCCCGGACATGGCGGCTTTACCTTCAGTCTCCTTCAGTCCGCGCGGCCGAGCCCCACGCAGCCGCACAGACGTAGTCCACAACCATTTCCGGCTCCCCGCACAGATCCCGCTCGGCGGCCACCGCTTCTCCGCAGGCGCAGCCGGCGCCCCCACGTGATCGGCGCAGAGGGCGGAGCCGCGCCCAGCGGCCCGGCGCCGCAGAGCACATGGGATTTACCCCGCCCCGTCACGTGACAGCCACCGCCAGCCCTCTTGTCCCCTTCCGAACTTTGGAACTCCCAGACAGACCACCCTCTGCGTGTCTGTTCCGAGGTTCTTTAGTTCATTCATATATTGATCAGGCATTTACTGAACGCCTACTAAGTGCGAGAATACTGAAATGAAAGACTTGATCCTGGCTAAAGAAAGCATGGTACAAATATGGAAAGAAATACGATTTATGCAATTTAGGAAAGAATGTAGATTCGATCATTGAAAGACCTATTAATAACAAAGAAGATTGAATGTTACGCTAAAAGGATTGAAACATTCTAACTAGGACAGTAGTAAGTGTAGATTTTTGTTTTCTGCAAAGATCAAACCCTTCCAGGAGGGGCAATTAATCATAGAAAACAGACTCACAGTCAAAGATTTAACCCTAAAATCCCTGCCGGCAGCAACAAAATGAATTTTAATCCAAACTCCAGTGTTTACTACCTTCCTATTTACTGCCTAATCAACTTTGGACAAGTTGTAGGCGCAGTAAGCATTTGACTGCAAACCTCAAGGTCTGGATTCAAACCCACCATTCACTCGCAGGAGAAAGATGAAATTGGCAGCTCTTACGAAGATTTCTGAGTCAAATCTATGGCAATCGGTTTGGTATTTTGGTTTAGTCTGGATCATGTCTGACCTTTAATCACGTGTTTTCACTCAATGATAACATCCAGCTATTTTGAAGATTTTGAGGTTTAAAAAGTAGTTCATTCCATTTTCACAATCATTTCTATGTTTGAGCCCCTTGTAGCCACTGTGTTAATCCACTTCTTTGGGGAGTCTTCTTCTTTTGCAGACCCTTTAATTTACCAAGGGTGATGTCCTTCCCCAGGGACTGGCCCCTCCTGATAACATGTCCAAAATATGTGAACCAAAATCTCACTATCCTTGCTCCTTAGGAGCATTCTGGCTGTATTTCTTCCAAAGCATATTTTTTCCGCTTATTCTAGCAGTTCATAATATATTTAACATTCTTTACCAATACAATAATTCAAAGGCATCGACTCTTCTTTGGTGTTCCTTTTTTATTGTCCACCTTTTGCATTCATATGTTGTTGTTATGTGCCATCGAGTCGGTTCCGACCCATAGCGACCCTGCATAGGGTTTCCGAGGGTGTAAATCTTTACGGGAGTAGAAAGCCTCATCTTTCTCCCGCGGAGCAGCTGGTAATATATAAGGTGATTGAAAATGTCATGGCTTGGGTTGGGTGCACCTTAGTTCTCAAAGTGACATCTTGTCTTTTTAACACTTTAAAGAGGTTTTGCCAATCCATCTTTGATTTCTTGAATGCTGCTTCTGTGGGCATTGATCCTGGATCCAAATAAAATGAAACCCTTGACAACTTCTTTTGTCTGTCCTTTATGATGTTGCTTATTGGTCTAGTTTGTAAGGATTTTTGTCTTCTTTATTTTGAGGTGTAATCCATACTGAAGGTTGTGAGCACAACTGTTGTCAGTTTTAACTCATCGTTTCCCAGAAGTGCTTGATGAGTTTAAACGGCCAACCTTGTGGTTAGCACTCCAGTGCTGCTTATCCTACAGCACCACACCAGGACCCCTGAGCACAATTGTTGTTGTTCTTGTTGTTAAGTGCTATCAAGTTGGTTCTGATTCATAGCAACCCAGTATAAGTTTTCCGAGAAGCAACTGGTGAGTTTGAACCTCTGACTTGGCAGTTCAAACCAACCTTTTGGTCCAGTGCTCATCCTAAAGTGCCACACCCATTCTTTGCAGTTTTATCCAAATTTGCTTTGAACCATGCAGTTTAATTCCTTTGCATAGTCAATAGAACACAGATAAACATCTTAATTCATGTGAAAGTATTTTAAACAGTGCCTAGACTTCTAGCAAAAAGTTTCATTTTATATACTTATCTATATAGTCCACTTGTGGAGTTCTAGTGTGGCACTGCAGGTTAATGCACTGGACTGCAAGGTCAGTTTGAACTACAAAGTTGGTTTGAACCACAAGGTTGGCATTTCAAGCTCACCAGCCACTCCTTGGAAACCCTATACAGAGTCACTATGAGTCAGAAGTCACTCAACGGTACTTAGCAACAACACAGTATACTTGTAACCTGAAAACCAAAAACCCAAACTAGTTGCTAACAAGTCAATTCCAATTCATAGTGACCCCACGTGTGCAAAGTACAGTTTTCAAGGCTGAGACTTTACAGAAGATTATTAAATCTTCCTTCCAAGGTGCCTCAAGTGCCTCATGGGTGGGTTTGAACCATCAATATTACAGTTAATAGTCAAGCATTTAACCATTTGTGCTACCCAGGGACTCCTAAGTAACTTCTGAAGTTAAGAAAACATTTTCTGAATACTAACGATGAACTGGGTGCTTATTACATATGACCTATATAACTTTACTTAATCCTTACATTCTCCTACAGAATAGGTTGTATTACTATTCCCATTGTAAATGAGAAACTCAGGCTCAGAAGAGTCAAATCTAGAACTGGCACTCGGGTCTTGAAAGCCCACTTTTCCTTCTATTACAGATTGCTTCCTGAAGTGCATGATACCATAGAACTTGATGTGGTAAGGAGAAAACGGCAGAAAACAACCCCCATTGTCACTTCCATCAAGTAAGTATTCTCAGGGGACACTAAGGTAAATTGGCATAACACACTCCACAAGGCAATGCTCTACAGCCTACTTTGGTGAGTAGCAACTAGGGTCTTAAAAGCTTTTGAGCAACCATCTAAGGTGCAACTATTGATCTTTCCCTGTCCAGAGCAAAGAAGAGTTTAGGAAATCGAAAATGCATGGAAACAATTAGGAGATACCACCAAAGGACTAATGGACTATAGGAACCATAGCCTCCACCACCCTGAAACCGGAAGAATTAGATGGTGCCCTGCTACCATTACCAATTGCTCTGAAAAGAATCACACCAGAAGGTCCTGGATAAAGTGGGAGTAAAATATGGACCCAAATTCAAAATAATCAAAACAAGATCAGGCTTACTGGTCTAATAGAGACTGGTGGAACTCCCAAGACTATGATCTTTAGAAACCCTTCAGGCCTGGAACTGAACTCATCTTTCAACTTTCAGCTAAATGAGACACAGTCTACAAGATGAACAAAAACACTAGGGAGATATTATGTCTTAGAACAACCAACCATAGGAGATCAAAAGGACATTTGCCCAAGGATAAAATAAAGCTCAGAAGTCAAGAAGGGATGGAAAAGAACAAAAGGAAACAGTAAACACAAGAAGGAAATGGGAAAACTGTTGTTACATTGTGAGGATTGCAACCAATAGTTACAAAACAAAATATATGAATTGTTGAGTAGAAAACAGTTTACTCTGTAAATTTTCACCCAAATCCCTAGAAAAAGTTAAAAGAAAAAGAAAGATAACTGTAGGATGAATAAACTCAGACACAAGTATACCTAGTCGTCACTTTTTAAGAGAAGTAGGGCAGTAATTCTAAAGAAAAAAAAGAGTAAAAGAGACACCTTTGTAAGAATGAAAATGCAGCTCTAGAGTGTTCTCCCCAAAGCTCTTCACTTGGGTTCTGTGATTGTCATATAGAGCTCTGTTCTCTGCTTTCTCATTTCTATGCTTTCTAAGTAAAATGATCCATGAGCTAATAAATAAGAATTACTGCTTCCATGACAGTGACTGCCCAACCCCTTCCTAACTCAAAACCACATTTGAATTCCAGTGACAACAAATTATAGACTCTTCCACCTGAGACATATATCTGGACACTCCCAAACATATATGCTTACGTATGTCTTTCCGATGAATACAGCCAAAATTCAATGCTTAACCTGAAAATCTGGGGTTTATCCTACATTCCTTTTCATTCATACACTGCATCTAATCAAATACTAAACCCACTGCCACTAGTCCATTCCACCTCATATTGATTGACCCTGTGTAGAGGTTTCCAAGGCTTGAAAGGAAATCTTTAAAGAAGCAGAAAGGCTGCTCTTTCTCCTGTTGAGCCATTGGTGAATTCGAACTGCTGACCTTGTGGTTAGCAGCTCAATATGTAGCCCACTATACCACCACGGGGGTTCCTGGATCAAATGCTAAATCCTAATGACTTTAATTTTTTTAACATTTTATTCTGAATAACTGAAGGTTTACGGAGTAGATCATCAGTTTTACATTCAACAAATTATACAATTTTGTTTCATCTCAATTGCAATCCCCTCAATGTAACAAGAAAGCATGTTTGGTAAGGTGGAGGCTCAGAGAAA